AAAATGCTGTGACCAAGGCCACTGCATTTCCAAGGATGCAGTCATGGCAGCATTTATGATGTAAACTGGTGGGCTGTGCAGGTAAGTGCTTGTTCTCTGGATGGATCTGAGAGATCATCTTACACGTTTTGAGTGTTTGTGTCCTGGTCTATCCTAATCGTGTCAGTTCTGTAGCAGTGTCATTGTCACTGTAGTGTGGTGGCACTGTGGAGAGGGAGCTGTGTCTGAAGTGTGCCAAGCCCCAGGAGGATCTCTGAACCTTTCCTTTCTCAGACCCTCTGGCTTGGTCTCCTGGCTCTAGGACTGCTTCTCACTTTATTTCCTTCTCCTTGGAAAATAGAGCAGAAAGGATGCTGCTGCTTGATAGCGCTCGTCCTCCTTTGGCGTACCGTGTAGTTTGTCTTCCTGTTCCAACAGGAGCCTCTTCTACCTCTTGCGTGCCTCATTGTAAGATGCTCTGAGATCTTCCCATCCAGGGAAGGCACTTGTTGAAGGTGCAGATGTTTTTCTTTCAGCTGTCCATGGCTTATTCCTGCTGTTCTTTGCTAATGGTTGTTAGGGGTAAGTTGTGCAGGGGAGTCGTATGGCAACAGATCTTGTTCATGCTGTATGCTGGGTCCTTCAGGAGGTGCTGGAGAAGAGAGATGCTCCCGTGTATGCAGGCAGCCAACACCTTTTGGCCAATTTTGAAACACTTTGCAAGGATGAAACCACATTGTCCACTTCAACCAGCAAGCAAAGAACAATTCCCAGATTGTGAGAATCCAAGCTCAGGAACCGGAAGAGCTCCCACGAGGCCTTTAAGAAGGGCTGGCCAAGGACCAGTAAAATTTGTTCCAAGTTCTGATTGATGTTTTCCATCAAGTACAGTAAGTGTTTATGGAAAGGCTCAGTGGGAACAAGAGGTTTCTGCAAGCTGCAGGGGTGATGACACGAGCCTGTGTTGCTTATGGGGTGTTCTTGTTTGAGCTTCAGGTTGGGGTGAGCTGCTGGGGCTGGAGGTGCTGCATTTCAAGGGGAAGGGTTTGCATTTTATGAAGCAGCACTCATTGAAGGATCAGGAGCTGTGTGGTTCATCGTGCTGAATGTCACTTTCGGTCACCTGAACTTGACAGAAATTGTTATTGTACAATAAAAAATATGATTTGGCATCTGCAAGAAATACAGAGAGCTTCAAGAGCTCTAATAAGCAACTGGAAAAGGTGAAGAAGCACTGGCATGCTTACAAGGGACAGAACGTGGTTCTGCTGATGTGAGGAGACAGGGAAAGTTGTATGGCAGTGTGGGAAGTGCTCACAACTGCAGTCCTGAGCGGTGGCATTCCAGGTAATGTGCCCAGTGGCATCACATCCTCTGCTTTGCAGGACCAGCAAGTGACCCATGGGAGGCTGAGCAGCACCAGGAGGGCAGGGTGGGGTGGTGGAGGTGGAGATGCAGCACTGTGCATCCAGAGGGCTCGCAGGAAGCCGGTGTGGGCATGGCTGTGCCTTAGGTGGCTGTGTGAGCCTGGAGCCAGCCCTGCTGCTGGGGGTCGGTGTGGGTGGGCTCCTGTGGTACAAGATGTGCACACAGCCCTTTTCCTTTGGCTGCGTTCAGCTTGTTCTTGTGTACCTTCGTCTGAGGCGAATGTCAGATGTGATGGGATGTTGGATTAGGCTAAATCTCTGAGGTTTAGCTGGAATGTTGTCTCGCTGTAGCGTTTTTCTCCCTTGCTCTTTTCTCTAAGGCTTCCCCTACAGACAGCTAATTCTCCCCTTCCCCCACATCCTGTCGGACCCCAGAGCATGTCACAAGGAATTAGCGGCTGAAAAGGCCAGCGGAGGCTGCTCCTCTGGAACAGGCTCTCCTTTCTGAGCCCGTGCTGGCCCCTCTGTGTGCCCGCTTTGTGTCCCGGCCAGCTCCCCTCCCCCTGGACATTCAATGCATGCCAGAACTGAGGCTGGGCCCCGGCACCTTCCCAGCATTGCTGTCCTGTGCCATCTTTCGGGGCCCAAGGGCTTCCCGCGGAGCCAGAGATGTGCCACAGGAGGAGATGAACCTTCCCTCCCGTCTCCGTGCCACTGGCAGTGTCGCCCGCTTTCACTCCAGCTCCTTCCCACAATTCACATACAATCTCCTTAGAATAGAGATGATGTCACTTCCTTCCAGAGGGTGCCGGGGTGTGGAATGGGGAGTCACGACCCCCCTGGGCTTGGTGGCTCTGGCAGGATAAATGAAGTGGCTGCCCGGGAGGGAGGGAGGAGTTGCTCTGAGGACGATGCCCAGCGCTGTGTGCAGGCAGGCACTGTGCTGTGCTCCCCTTTGCTGGCTGGGATTTTTAGTGACTGCGAGAAGAATTTGCTGCTCCCTCCTTCACTCATGATGCCCGTCTCTGTGGATCTGCACTTTTCCTGCGACATCCTTACGGGAGAGAAGAATACCAAACAGCTAGACCACAGGCCACGTAAGATTTCTGCTTCCATCCATCTCACTCTGAGCTGAGAGCCGAGGCTCTGTGCTCCTTGCATGCAGGGCTTGTGCCTGCATGCATTTCTCCCCCTAATTTCAGCACTGGGGCTCCTCACAGCAGGGTGTAGCTTTCAAAGTGTGGGGAATTTTTCACCCTTTGGAGCAATTTTGGGAGCACCACAAGGGATTCTTGGTGTTACTAAAGCAGGGTCATTGTTCTCAGGGTTGGCTGCATTCTAGCCTTGCATTTTTCTTCCCCTCTCCCTGCTGGAGTCTGATCTTCATCTTCTGGAAATGTAATTCTTGAGTTTATGTGCAGGAGGGAGGGTGACTTTTTACGTGGGCATGTAATGATAGGACAAGGATAAATGTTTTTTAGTTAAAAGAAAGGAGATTTACGTTGGCTTTGAGGAGGAAATTCTTTACCCAGACAATGTTGAGGCCCTAACACAGGATGCCCAAAGAAGTTGTGTGTGTCCTGTCTCTGGAGGTACTCAAGGCCAGGCTGGATGGTGCCCTGGGCAGCCTGATCTGGTGGGGGGCAACCAGCCCACAGCAGGGGTTGGGGATGGGTGGACTTTGAAGTCTCTTTCAGCCCTATCATTCTGTGGTTCTATGATCTTTAAGGTCCCTTCCAGCCCAACCCATTCTATGGTTCTTTGATCTCTAAGGTCCTTTCCAACCCAACCATTCCATGGTTCTGTGATCTTTAAGGTCCTTTCCAACCCAACTATTATATGGTTCAGTGGTTCTGTGATCTGTTGCCCTGGAATGAAGCCAGAATTCTTACAGTGACACCATTGTAGGTTTTTTGTTGTTTAATTTTGTAGGCTTCACAATCTGAGGCCTTCTGTCATCTCCTTTCTGTTCAAATGGGTGGCAAGGCTGCAGACCTCAATGTTTAGTTTTTGCATAGGCAGTCTTTAGAAGTGAATCATGACTCTTTTTGCAGTGCACGGGTTGCCCAGTTAGCACACGGTGATGAGTTGCAGCTCTGTGCCCATTTCTTGGTGTGGCAGGGTTGTTGGTGGCAAGTCTGGGAATTTCCAGATGGCCAGAGGAGCAAGGAGTTTTAAAGCAGAGCTGCAACGTACCGAGTGCTCTGATTATTTTGTGCTAAGGAAATGCTAATCCAAATAATGTTGTAATTTCACATGTGCTGTGTGTGTGGAATGGAGCGTTTCCTTCACCCAAGTGAAGTACATGCTGAAGTGTCAGCCTGTTTGCTGTGTAAAGGACTGCTGTTTGCAGGACTCGTGCAGGTTTTCAGTGCTTGGTATGGGAGCAGCTAAGTAGCACAGCAGGTTTTAGGGTGGTCAGCACAGCAGATAAGGAGAGGGTGTGACTAGTGAATGATTTGGTAGGATGGGGAAGCTTCTATAACTGCAGCACTTGGTGCTGTAACAGACTGGGCTCCATCACAAACCCTGTGTTACTTTGAGGGTTCGAATGACCTAAGTGTGATCGTGTGATTCGTCCTGGTTTTTACACCTAGAGGCGTGTGCAAGTTGAGTTTTTGGTGTGGTTCATGAGGCAAGGCAGATGATCAGTGGTGGCTGTGGGCAAACAGGCCGTAGATAAGATAAAGGAAATCAGAGGTTGACAAAACCTCACAGACTGCAAGTGAGGGTTGAAATGTGTTGTGCCAGAAATGCAGAAGGGAGATAAGGTGCACTGCAGGGATGCACAGAGCTGTTCTGACCCCGGCGACAGGGGGGCTGGAGTGGATTGGAGCATGCACAGCAGCTCTGAAACAGTGTGGGAAAGCTGTGCTGGAGGAGGTAGCTGGGTAGCCCTGCAGAGTCTTGTGACTTCTATCACTGCTGTTTCTTTTTTTAAAAGGGTTTGTGTAGCTTTAGAAACAGGAGCACAAACAAAACGTGGGGAGGAACAGCCAGCCCCTCAATCTTCAACCTTTTAAAATTGTTATTGCCTGTCAGGGCCAGTGTGAGCACAAAGGAGATGTGGAGCTGGCAGGATTCTTCTGCGCAACTTGTGGCTGAGTGAGAGATCACCTAGGAGTTTGCTCCCTCAGCTGTAAGTGCTTTCTGCTGGGAGCCAGTCAATAGCTTCCCCAGATGCTGCTGCTAACTGCTAATGGAGATTTGGCTTGCTGAGCCTCGTGCAGACTGTCAGTGCTGGACAAGAGAAGGGGATGGCAGCAGGCATGCCTTTGGAAGGATGTGGTAATAGGACATTTTTGGGGACTGAGACCGGTGTAACCTGTCCAAAGCAGCTGACCTGTTACTGACACGTGGCCCTAACAGGATTCCTGTTAATCTTTGAGAAGTGGAGCTGAGTGAGTGGCAGTTGTGTGCGGTGAGTTACATACTGCTTCATCCAACGCTTGTCTCTCTTCAGACAGCACCTTCCTCTCCTGCACTCTCCTTTCTGAGCGTGCCATGCCTCCTAGTTCTGGGAGGAGAAAGAACTGCCATCTTGGGTGTCAAGTAGGTTAGCTCAGATGTAGGCCTTCTGCTGACCTGTGGCTTTGGGGCTCTGTTGCGGGGGTGAGGAAGGTCAACAGTGTCTTTGCTTCTTTTCTTTTCTAGGAGGTGAGCATCGTGCCTGCTGACCTGTCTCAGACCCACTAGCCATGCCAGGGATTGTCGTGTTCCGCCGTCGCTGGTCTGTGGGCAGCGATGACCTCGTTTTGCCAGCAGTCTTCCTCTTCCTCCTGCATACCACCTGGTAAGTGAGAAAGGCAGGGTGATGGTTTGAATGCCTCCATGAAATTCGTGCTGATTCTGCTTCTTGCAGCTGTAATTCTTGTGCTTACATATGCAGCTAAAAGGCTTGTATGGGCATTTTTGACAGCCACCAGCATATTTCCAGCTTCTGGTTGTTTGCATAAGTGCTATTCTAAGCTCAGTTTCCAGAGAGGAAGCCTGGCCCGATCTCCTTGTATCCTCCTGTGCTACCCAGGGTTGGAATTTGGCCTGTGTTACTGTACAGGGCTCAGGAAAAAAAAAAACAACAGTTGAAGTAGCAGATTCTGGGCATCCTGATCTAGTTGGTGGCAATCAGCCCATGGCAGGGGGTTGAGGCTGGATGGGCTGTAAGATCCTTTCTAACCCAAGCCATTCTATGAATATATGATCCCATGGGATGTGTGACTTGGCATCTCTGTGCGTGTCAGGTTTGTGATCCTCTCCGTGGTGCTCTTTGGGCTGGTGTACAACCCCAATGAGACCTGCTCGCTGAACCTGGTGGACCATGGCAGAGGCTACCTAGGCATCCTGCTCAGCTGTATGATCGCAGAGATGGCAATCATCTGGCTCAGCATGCGAGGCAGCATCCTGTACACCGAGCCCCGAGACTCCATGCAGTATGTGCTCTATGTCAGACTGGGTAAGATGCAGCGGCCTGAGGCCTCCTAATGACTCAGCCTCCACACTGCCATCTGCTAGCGCAGAAGACTTCTCTCCCCACACCCTGACAAACACAGCTTCTCAAAGACATCCAGATGGCCACTTGTATGTGATATGCATCTGAATACATCACATATACTGCACCCTGCCATTGCTGTAAAACTCTCATGCGGCGCCCCAAATATCTTTCTAGCAAACCTTTAACTTGTCATCCTCCTTGTGATGCAGGTACATCCTTTTCATCTAACAAAATATGCTCTCCTTCTGTCTTGCAGCCCAGATTTGCCACAGTGAGATGCATCTACACCTCTCTCCCACTCTTTTTTTCAACAAGTTTTCCTATGATACAGGCATATGCCTTTGTAAATCATGGCTGTTCTCACCCTGAGGCCATGTGCATGTCCTTTGCCTGACATATATATATATTTAAATCTGCATCCACTTACCTTGAAGCGTGCTTGACCCTTTGACTCACACATAATGCATCTCTCCATTGTGCAACGTGTGTTCTGATACTCTGCCTCCAGGCGTTGGGAGGTAAATAGGTTTGCCACCTGCTCGCTGGTTGCATCTTCTCTCTGAATGTGCATATGTCTTTTCTTCCTAAAAACATTTCCTGCTTTTCTCATCCACCAAAAACTAGGTTGGAAAAGAGACTGTTTCTCAGTCCATCAATCAGGGATTCCATTTTAGCTTGTCATCCCTCCCCTGGTCCGTTCTCTTCCAGATACAGAAACTTAATCAGATTTTTCTGTGCTGGGTGAAGACTTTAAGAAAATCTTTTGCAGATACAGAGTCAACAATTCCACTCCAACAGACCGTATCATGTTTTTGCATTTCTGTTTTTGCTGGATTGTTTTTATGCAAAATTTGCTAAAAGATGGGTAACTTTGCTTGAAAGCTCTATCCAGGAGACATTTCCACCTTGGAGTGCTAAGAGCAAATCATTAACATGAATAGCAAACAAGTCTTTCTCTCCAGTTTCCCAGGCACAATGTGATCTCCCTGAGGAAGCATGTAGAGCCTGACAGCTTCAGTAACACTGTAAAAACAGACTAAATGAGGCAGGGGAGGTAGAGAGAGTCCGAGGAATCATCCTGTTTTCTTCCCTGTGTTTAAGATTTGTATTTAAACTGTAACTTGGGTCTTGTACATGTTTATTTCATGGGTTTTTTTCTTTTTTTTTTTTTCTTCACTCTTAATGGCTCTGGTGATTGAATTAGGGGTGTGACCTTTTTGTGGGCAAGGTCCATTTGATAGCCTGATTTCAACAGAGCATAATTAGTGCGTATGAATCTAAAGTCATAGTTGCAATAGTAACCCACAAAGGTCTTCTCAATGGTATTGCTACTCCTGTTCCACATCTTGTAGCCTCAGAGGGGAGGTTAGCTAAGGTAGGCAAAGCCTAGTGCAGCTCAGCTTCAGAACACTTGAGGAGCTGGGTCCAGCCCTGGTTTCTTTCTCACTGGGTGGCTGCTCAGTTTTCTAGGCTGGGCTTGGGTTCAATCCCAGCTCCACCAAAGGCTTGCTAGGTGTTACATGCAGGCTGTTTACCCTCTGTCTCATTCCCCATCTGTACTGTAGGGTTATACTGTGTTGAGAAGGTGAGGATGGGCACTTCAGAGTGGTGTTTTCCAACTTTTTTCTTGAGCCATAGTCAGGTATAATTTCTTGCTCTCTACCAGGACAACATGCAGAACTGAGGAGCCAGTAAGTGCTTCCTCAAGGGCTACGTGTTGGGAATTATTGCTGCAGGAGCTGCAAAGGTCAGAGGCGATGGAAACATTTGTTAAGTGTAGTAAGTAGACGTATTCCTGGGTACACACTGCTATTTATTTCATATCTTTGAATTAGGCCAGCTTTACTGTGATAGTGATTCTCTTTACCTAAGGGAGTCTTTCCGCTGTTGTGGAGGAAGGGACAGCTATTTGATTGACTTCTCTAATGCAGCCAAGAGCACTTCTAGCTTTATGTATGTGGTCCATGTGTCACTTAGGAGTATTTACTGATAAGGAGACATTTTGGGTTCATATTCTTGAATACGGGCCCATTCTTGTGGCCTTTTATTCTGCAACTGTCCTGCTAAAGAACACATCTTTGGATTTCCTTGCAAGAAGCTGGGAAAGGCAGTCATTGATCATTAGGGAGATGCTGCTACTATTCATTGTGTTCCTTTTGTTTCAGCTATCTTGGTGATTGAGTTTGTGTATGCTATTGTGGGCATCATTTGGCTAACGCAGTACTACACTTCCTGCAATGATATCACCGCAAAGAGTGTCACTTTGGGTATGTATTTGGAATGTGTATGCACAGACATCTCTTGCCTTGGAGAGCTAATTCACTCATGCATGTGGGGATTGACTGTTGGTAGTGAATTGTAGCTGTAAATGCTCTGCTTGTTTCCCTCAAGAATCCAGTGCTCAGAACAGTTGTTCTATTCATTTGCTTGTGCTGCCTGCACTGAGGCAAGAATCCCTGTTCCCATGGAGGGATCTGGCATGGGGAGTCTGAAAGCCCTGGTTCTCCTTCTGTTCAGAATGGCTTTCCTGTTTTTGTCAAATTGCTTTTCAAACCCAACCATTCTCCTGGGGGGAGTGATGAGAATGCTGCAGTCCACTAGGTCTTCAGTGAGTCTTTAATGGTCTTCTGCACAAGCAGTCTCCCTGTGGCTGCATAATCTGTGGTCAGGAGCCTTTGCAGAAGATTTCTTTGTGCCGCAGCTGGCTGCAGGAATATTTGGGTTAGCTTCTTCTGTCTGCCCTGTGGCAACAGAGAGGCGTGTGTGATGCGCGCGGAGAAGAGCAGGAAATAACACTGCCAAGACCTGAGGGCAGAGCACGTGACGTATTCCTTTTCTTTGTAGGAATGGTGGTGTGCAACTGGGTTGTCATCCTGAGTGTCTGCATCACCGTCCTATGCGTCTTCGACCCGACAGGCCGGACCTTTGTCAAACTGCGTGCCACAAAGCGGAGACAGCGCAACCTGAGGACCTACAACCTGCGGTAAAGCACTTCTGGAAGGGCACCCTGCTGCCTGTGGTTCTTGGCATTCTCCCTGCCTTGCTTCAGGGAGCGTTCAGTTGCAGGTGTTGCTTCCCTTTGGTGAGGGTGGTTTTGGACGAAGGCAGCTCAGACTGTGTCGGGTGCTGTGTGTGGGCATCTGTATTTAAAGGAGGCAAAGCAAGGCAGCGCCTGGCTGGATTGCGTGTTAGTCACTGGCTTTGTCAATCCTTCCTAGCCCCTTTAGCCACAGTGCTGATCACAGCAGCCTGTTTGCCCATCCTGTTAGCAGTGTTTTACCTCCCCAGTGGGCAGTGTTTAAATTTTGCTTAGGTTGAGGCACCTTTGTCCAAAGCCTTTTTCTTCTTTTGTGTTTATCTGCAAAATATGACCTTTTGGCCTGAAATCTTGGCCAAGAAACAGATTCTTTTGGGTTGGCAGCTAGATGTTTTAATTAAGAATTGATTGCATCTTTGAGCTAACCAGATGGGGATGTGAAAGCTTTTTTCACCAAGCAAGGCATTTTCCAGAAGCTTTTTCCTGCAGTGGGACAGAACAAGCAGGCTTTGTTTTCTTATGCAGTTTTGACACATGTAACCATAAGTAAGGAATGTAACTCTGTGGGACAGAGGGCATTCGATTTTTGAATGCTAAAAAATAAGGCTTTTAAAAAATACATAGAATCACAGAATGGCCTGGGTTGAAGAGGGCCATAATGATCATGTAGTTCCAACCCCCCTGCTATGTGCAGGGTCACCAACCAGCAGACCAGGCTGCCCAGAGCCACATCCAGCCTGGCCTTGAATGCCTGCAGGGATGGGGCATCCACAGCCTCTTTGGGCAACCTGTTCCAGTGTGTCATCACCTTCTGTGTGAAAATATCCTGCAAATTTTGCATTTCTAATTGGAAACATGTATTTGAGGTGTGTCTTGAAGTGGAATCCTTCAGAACCCCTTTTTCTGGAGGGAGGAAAAGTCTCCAGATGCCTGCTTTTTATTGCAGAATAGAAGAAGCTTTTCTTTATCTTTCTAGTATGTTGCTAACACTACCCCTTAATATTCAGAATTAATGCCCTATAAGCCTAATGGCTGCAATTACTGCATTATGATGAAGACATTCCCAAGCAGATGTGGATGAAAAGCTGGAAGATGGCTCTGGTACCCCACAGTAAATCAAAGCTGTTTGGCTTAATTCACTTTTTTTCTTTTTGAGGGAAGGCTGAGCCACAGGTTGCAAAGTTCTTTTTGCTAGGAAGCTTAAAGTAAGACACAACAGAACACTGAAAATGATTTCCCCCTGAAATTTTGAGACCCCAGACAATTGAGTGAAGATATTTGTCCCTTGGGCCATGACCAGGCTTTTTCCTCCAGACCTGTAAAGTTTTCAGAGAGCTTTTTCCTGCTGCTTCCAGATTTCTGCTGTAGGAAGGGAGTGTTTACAGATGTTAACAAGCAAAATGCTATGGGCTATAACGTGGAAGGGAAACATGAAATAATCCTATGTGGTTGCTACTAAACCTATTGCTTCCAAAGAATATAGTTTGAAATTAGCCACTTGCTTGAAGCAATTGAAAAAAAAAAGGAGTTTTGAAATTCTCTGCCTGCTTCTGGATTATGATTCTGCAAGATGCTGAGGGCCAGTTGTTCCTATTGCATCCCTTGGTCTGCAGTGATATGAGCCTGCTGAGCTATAGCATTAATTTGGCATTTGTATCACCTTAATCTGAGCTGTATTTCCTGTCTCAACTCATGAAAGAACTCGATTTGGTTGTCACATTTAGGAGAACGTGAACCTTCAGCTTCCTTTTTGTGGTTCTCTGTTGTAGTTATTGGACTGTGGTTTTCTTTTATCTGTGGCTTCTTGATGTGTGTGGGCTTTTATGTTCCTGCAGTATGAACAAAATAAATCAAACTGAAATAAATGGCTCAATTAATTGCGCTGAGACTTCTCTAAAAAAACTTGTTGTAGGACTCATCTGAAACATGTGGAAGTTCAGTGTTTGGAAGAAAGAATTTGGGAGAAGTCAGAGAGAAAATAGCTCAGAGCACGCTTGCTTGTCCAGCCCCCGCAGTGAAGTTGTGAAGTTCTTTGCATTGCTGCACGAGCTTTCTGGCATTTGGTGGAGCAAACAGAGCATCGCCAGCTCCATCTTAGGTCCCTCATATTCCTCTTCCACTTTTGGAATCTTCCTTGGAGGTTGTGGGTATTTGTTTTAAATTGCTCAGCCATGAAGCCCTGCAAAATCTCCTCTTTCTGTTGTAGGCAAATATTTGCTTACCAGCAGCTTTTTCTTCCAGGTGCAACCAACTCTCTGTGCTTCATGGCAGAAAAACAGAAGCTGTCTTTTTTTTTATTGAACTGACCTATGTTACGTTGGTCTGCATTCACATGACAGTGACCCTGCATTACAAGAGCTGTACCCATATGCACCCCACCCATATGGGACCTTATCCATATGCAGGCAGCATGGCTTTCTGCAGGGAGGGGGGGAAAAGTCAGCTAATTCCATAACACTGAGCCTGTCTTGATCTCAGGTTTGTTCTGCAGGAATGCTAGTTAAACTTAATGGACTGTCACTCTAAAAGTGTAGTAACTAGGGCAAGTTCACAACAGTGGAATGAACTCAGCAATAGCTTATTTTAAATAGGGTTGTCCAATTAGCTAAATTTGAAGCTGAAATTGAAATGTCATATAAACCAAATGTGGGTTGAGTGAAACCTTCTGTATTCAGGCGTTTTTTTAACCTTTTCTAAATTGAAAGAGAACCTTTAGCTTGCTTCCCCACTTTTGGTTTCAAGTTATGCACCATATTCAAAGAACGGAAATTTTTTCGGTTCTGAAACTGGTACATATCATAAAAATATTTTTCCAAGTAAGCTATTTATTGGAAAAAATTGCACAGCTCTTAGTGCTAGTGCTCAGAGTCTTTGTTTTTTTGTAAACCTTGATTTCTTTTCTGCAGACACCGCCTGGAAGAAGGGCAGGCCAGCAGCTGGACGCGCCGCCTCAAGGTTTTTCTTTGCTGCACACGGACAAAGGACTCTCAGTCGGTAGGTACCAAGAAGTTCCTGGCAGAGAGCAAGCTCTGTGTGTGGCCAGTGATACGTAGGACTCAGCAGAGCGGAGCAGTGTGGGATTCCTGCTATCAAACTGGACATGCCTCATTTCGCTTGTGAGCGTTACGAGATGCAGAGCCTCGAGGAGTCCAGTGAGCATTGACAGCAATGCTTGCAAGGACTGACATTGTCCTCCAAGAAGCAGCAAGCTGAGCCACCCCTCAGAATTCACTTTTTGCTCTATACTGGTTCCTTTTCCTTCCTTTCAGCGTCAATAGAGCAAATTGAAGCCTGCATTTCTGCAGGAGCTTACCTAAGTATCCTATGCAGAAATAGACTCATAGAATCATAGAATGGCCTGGGTTGAAAAGGACCACAATGACCATCTAGTTCCAACCCCCCTGCTATGTGCAGGGTCGCCAACCACCAGACCAGGCTGCCCAGAGCCACATCCAGCCTGGCCTTGAATGCCTGCAGGGATGGGGCATCCACAACCTCCTTGGGCAACCTGTTCGAGTGCGTCACCAGCCTCTGAAGAAGCTGATATTCTCTTTAGATGCAGATGTAACATCGCTGGGAAGGACAGTTGTCTCTTTTAAAACAGCCATTCTTAGCCTTCTGGTTTAAATATTATGGACTTCTCTCTGAGACAGATAATGGCACTAAAGAGTGGTGTAGTCAGCTTCAAGCTTGCCTCCAGAAGCTGCTCTTTACTTTGCTATTACAGCAAACCAACTAATTTTAAGTGATGATACTAGTGGGAAAAAATATATTTTTCACCAATTTAGGTTCACCATTTAACAGCACTTTGTGTGATCAGCTTTAGTTTTCCTTTACTTAGCCAGTTTATCCTATTAGTTTGAGTCAGTCTTATGCCTGAGAAGGAGAGAGACTTTGAAAATGGAAAAATATAAACCTGCCAGAATCAGCAACAAGAATACTCCTGGGTACTGACAGGCTCTATTTGAGATGCTAGCAGAGCCTGCTGTTGAGTCTGTGGATTCAGATGAAGATTGAAACTTTGAAGTTTTCATGTGCTACAGTTGGGATTGTTCCTTTGCAGAAACAGTGCAGGGTAAGGAGTTGATTTCACTTCCCAAAAGATAGCAGCCCATTCATTCCTATTGAAAGTGGTGGGAGCAGGTTTTCATGTTCGAGTGATATTCAGCAGGAGTCCTAATAACCTGGTAGAGGTGAACATTGAGGTGGAGGATTGTGCTGACAGCACTAATATTTAAGTTGCTCAGAATTATGAGTAATTGAGAACTCCTTAAGGACCAAGCAGAACCGGGGAGCTGTTACCAATGAGAGACGAAAGTCATAATAGCAAAGGATGAAGCAGTGCATGCACATCTGAAGAAACAATTTAAATTACTTGCATACACTGATGGGCTGTGAATTAGTTACAACCTCTCAGGAAAAGAGCTAGGAGTTATCAAGGACACCTCAACAAAGACATCAGTGCAGAGCAGTGGCCAAAAAAAACCTTCAGAAAAACATGGAAGGACGTAGAAAGTGACAGAAAACATCAAGGGACTGACTGCATCAGTGATCTCCTCACTAAATATAGTTTGGTCTGCTGAAAGGTGCAGGAGAAAAAGGAGCATATTGGAGGGGCTATGAACTTGTATAGGAAGAGAAATGAGTCTGGGATTTTAACCATAGCTCTTCTGCAGAAATCCAGCCATGTGTTGTGGCGCTCCCCGCTGCATGCTGGATGAAGTGCAGCCCCAAGCTGCTGGCCTGCTCTGGAGGCACAGCCCAGTCATGCCAACTTTCACAGATCGTTTTCTAGAGCTGCTTAGGAAAATCCATCTGGAAAATGGCAACGAGATGAGCTGTGTGCTGTGGCAGCTCAAACAGCAGCATTTCCTTGGAGGCTGCGTTCTGCCCATCAGCAGAAGTACTTTGGGGTGCACTGGCTTTGTTTGCACCTGGCTGCCCCATCACGTCACTCGGCCAGATCCCAGAGCTCTGAGAGGCATCGAGTGCCTTGGTTCCCAAACAGCAGTATTCAGGAATGCTGTTGAGGAACAGCAGTATTCAGGAAGGCAAAGTATTTCACCTTGTGTCAACATTTTTTTTTTTCCCAAGCAGAAAAATGAAAAATTCTGTAGTGACTGTTGGATTCTACTTCTTTTCCTAGTTCAGGATAAAAGCGGATACCAGAATCTTCAAATTCCTTGTGCTGTTGAATTTCCACTTTACATTCAGCTTGAGTGATTTCCAGGCTCTTTTCTTTGAAGAAACAAGCTCTGACTTTGTGTGTCCTGGCATGACAGTGTGTGGAATGAATGCGTATGTAATGGATCAGAAATGAATCCATCACTGCCTCTCCCAGGCTTCATGGGGAAAAAAATGTTCTAGCAGGGGATGATTGTCCTCTGGGCTGGAAAATAGAGTTCTGCAGAATGAATGTGGCACTGGAGCAAGAATCTGTTCCTATGAGTGGGGCAATGTCTGCAGCTCTAAGTCTCCGCTGGCTGCGCCAGCCCCAGAGCCTCCAGGGTTTGTAACAGAGACTGATTGCAGTCAATCTTGCAACATCCCATCAGGCCCACCAGCAGCAACTTTTCTTTCAGAACAAAGCATACACATTGAACTTTTGTTCTGGGCTTTTACTGTGGACAGAGTATTAGGAGGTGGTAGTGTTACTTTGGGTTAGCGTTGTTTGCCTTTTAATTTGAGGCCATTTGCATTTCTTGCATACTTGTAGGAAGGATTTATTGGGTCGGCACTTTGTGGACAGTGTGGTTGTAAAGTCAGAAAGGCTGATGGAAGTCCATTTGCTCTTCAGGTGCACAGCTGGCATGGAAACCTGTGCAGTGGACACCCGAAACCCCATTCTTGAGGATGATGTAATTTACTTTAGGCAAGCGAAAAATGATAAAAGGTAATCCTGCATTCCAGGAGTTTGTCAGAGAATAGAAGAATGTAGGTCATTTCCTGCAAGCCTGCTGGGGGAGAAGGAATTTGCTTTCTGATCTGTCAGAGAGATGGAGAGATTCTGCCCTGAACACCAGCCCAAGTGAACAGCCCAGGCTTTCTACAGATGGGACTGTAGTCGCATGGTGTTAGTGTTGAGTAAAGGTTATGAAAATATCACTAAAAATTCAGGATAAGACTGATAGATCTTGGTAGGAAAAGTTAACGATGGCAGCACTCGAAATACTGACCACTTGTGTGCTATAGCATTTGCTCAATCCCACTCTTTGTTGGTTCAGCCTCTGGGTCACCCCAGTCTTTGAGCTCTCTGTTCTGAGCAGTGGCCAAACACGTTGTCTCACAGTCCAGCCACTTCCAGCCTCTCAAAGCATTCTCACTTCAGGCCCTATGTGGGTTTTTTTTGGTTTTTTTTTTGGTGGTATGGAGACAAAAGGGACATCACATTTCTCCTCAAAGTCTGTGTCGCTCTGCTTTAAAGCGTTAGATGACTTACTAAGGTCGTTTCCAATTCTCTCCCTTCTTCTGCAGTGTCTCCGTTTAGAGGATTGCTCACTTTCCCTGCTGGGAACTCTGTGTTCAGTAACTTGGAATAGATAAACTTAGTGGTCTTTTCCAACCTTAATGATTCTATGGTTTGATGACTTGGACCTGTGGTTTTCACAGGTTGTTCTTTTCAGGCTCTTTTGCTTGGGTGTGCTCCAAGACTAACTTAGAAAAGCTCTTTCAGGACCTGGAGCTCTGATGTGTAACACCTGCTTGTTGTACTTTAACTCTTGGAAATCGTGTAGTAAACAGCATAGTGGTGAGCAGTGAGTGATACAGAGGCTGCTCACTGACAGCTTGCAGAAGTCTCTCGCTTTCTCCATAATGTGTCCAGGGTGGTGAGGTCTGACTTAAGTATAGGAGAAATAGCTCCAGGACAGAGTTACAAAACTGAAGAGGCTGTTAAATAGGATATATTTGGTGCATTTTTCCTGAATATCCTTTGTTCATATGAAGTTGCTTTTGAGGAGAAAGGCTGACTGTGGGGTGATACTGGATTGGGAATTTTTGGTTCTCAGCTTATTTCTTCTGTCTTATTTACATTGAAAACATTGTCCTTCCCTCCCTTTGTATATGCATTCCATGTCCTGGTGCTTAGGTGGTCAGCTTATCCACACAGCACACCACATAGTGCAAATACAGTCTCAGCTGTGACTGTGCATGTGACATTCATAGGATCATAGAATGGCCTGGGTTGAAAAGGGCCATAATGATCATCTAGTTTCCACGCCCCTGCTATGTGCAGGGTCACCAACCACCAGACCAGGCTGCCCACTTTGTACAATAAGAGGTATTAATAATGATTAGACCAGTTGTAGTGTTCCCAGAAGGAATCTTGTGGATGTTTGGGGTTACAGAAATGGGGCCATTGCTGCCGTGTCACATCAGCTCTTGCTCTGCCTCCTGTTTGAGGGTCCTCACACTCATACTCCTCTTCCTAAACCCTTTTCTCTGTGGATTTTGCAGGATGCCTACTCTGAAATCGCCTACCTTTTCGCTGAGTTCTTCCGAGACCTTGACATTGTCCCATCTGACATCATTGCAGGCCTGGTTCTTCTGCGCCAGCGGCAGCGGGCAAAGCGCAGTGCCGTGCTGGATGAGGTGGGTGGAAACTTGCTGCCTTTTCTAGTTAGCTGATGCATACAAATTTAAATCTTGACCCTAGACAGGCAACTGGAGGCAGTTTCTTTAAAGTTATTAGGAGAAGTGGAGAGAAGACTCCAGCATCTGGTCAAAACTGCAGAGGCAACCTGAGGGAAAAAAAAGCCCTGAATTCCCAAATTGTTCTGCCATTGGGATTTGCAGATTCCTAATTGAACAGAAAAGTTGTGCTTATTTTCCTCAGAGGTGGGATTCAGACAGTGATGGGATGAGGTGGAAATCAGGACAGCAGAATTGCAACCAATTCAGGGGACTGGTCAAGATGTTTGCAAGCTGTCCTGCCCCAGGTTAACTAGTTCTTTGTTTCTCATGTATAGATTTTTTTGTCTTGGTGTCACAGAGAATATTTTCTTGTATTTGTGACTTACAGGCAAACAATGACATTTTAGCTTTTCTGTCTGGGATGCCAGTGACCAGGAACACAAAGTATCTGGATCTGAAAAATGCGGTAAGTCACTGGACTGTGATCTTGCAAACTCACGTGCTTCTTCATGTAGCCTGTTTTCTTTTTTCTCAGTGGTTTCTTTTCTGCTTTTCTGGAATAATCAAAGAGATTTAAGAATGGTACAATCGAATAAAAATACTTGTTCTTCTGGAGGCTTTGTTGTCTTTGGATCACTTTTACAGCATTGTCTGTCTGTCCTCCACTTTGTGGGAAGTAGCATTTCCACTCTGATGCTGAAAAACAGTGTGAGATTTCTTACAAGTGAGAGGTATATGAGTTGAGTGCTGCAGCCAGGAATGTTGTGCAGAGCTCCATGCAATGGTATCACCAGCTGGGCTTCATCTTGGTGAGGACAGGGAGCTGCCTGGAGTGAGATGGAGCCTTCTTCCCTGGGCTGCTTCTGTCAGCAGTTCTCAGGATGGAGACAGCTGCAGTCTGTTCTATGTAAATTAAGCTTGGCTTTTCTTTTGGTATGCTGCTGTTGCAGCCCTTCACTGGGCAAGCTATATTCACCCCTCTTGATCAGATGATATTCTTGCAAGAGAGGAAAGACTGACCCAATCCCAGCACCTCTGATTAAGCAATTCTGTGGTTAACCTGCTTGCAGCTGTGCTGTACTGCTCTGCATCTAATGCTAACTTCCTGCTTGCGTTCAGGCTATCTCTTTCTGCATAAGTATATGGGGAGAGAGGTCTGCATGGCATATAGAAAACAGCCCTGGGGCGTTTGGCCCCAGCCTGGCTTTTATGGTCCTCTCTATGCATCTTCCTTATGGCTTGTGCCCATTTGGAAGCAGTGTCTTTAGAGAGCTCATCTTCTTGGTACTTGATACTAGTTTCTCCCTGCCCAGTTAGGGGATGGATGGGGCAAAATACACAGAGTGTATTTTTCTTTGCAGCAGAGTGTTTGTTACGTAGGGAAGAATGCCTGTAGAACTAACTTCAAGCTTTGTTAAGCATCTAGTAAGGCCTCTCTAGTCACATAAATGGGCACGGTCATACTGGGTGGGGAGGGAAGGAGAGGATCTTACAGAGCATAATCAGAGTGCTCTCCTGCAGTCACCTGGAAATGCTGACAGTGTTCGCTGTCCTGGTGCTGGTAGAGAGAATGCTGATGTTCAGGGAGAAGGGTGCAGTCTCTAACTACAATAGAAAAAGGGAAACAGGATGAAATTGACATATGAAGAGAATAAGGCCTTTAGTGAGTCTCTTGTCTCTTTCAGCAAGAGATGCAGCGATACAAAGAGGTGTGTTACTACATGCTGTTTGCCCTGGCTGCCTATGGCTGGCCCATATACCTGATGAGGAAGCCCACATGTGGACTCTGTCACCTGGCCAGATCCTGCTCGTGAGTGGCCGTCCTGCCTATCGCTCTGCCTTCTTTCCTTCCCTCTTCCTTTCTGTTTTTCCCTGATTTAGAATCCTTTCTTCAATCAGTTTGCTTTCTCCGTCACTTTTCAGTTACTACTTACTTTTTTCCTCTTCTGCTTTTTTTTCTTCTCTTACACTTTCCATCTCTTGGTAACTTCATTCTCACATCTTTCTCTTCATTCTTTCTTACAGTTACTTATCTGCTTACCCTGTTAAATAAACCACTGTCATATTCTGTCCTCTCTGGTGCACTAAGGATCATGCCAGTCCTTTGTAGTTTGGATAACCAGTGGAGAGAACTCATCTGGCACAAGAGTGCTTTCACACTGAGTCAAAATAGCTGTCTCAGAATGCAGAAATCAGACTTATCAGCAAGCCCAGTTAGGCAGAGAATTGACATTTGGGTCTTTATTAAAGCATCGACAAGACTTGGCCAGAGTTTGTGCTGCGTTCTCTCTGACTAATTGTTTTTTGATTGCCATGCTGTATACTGCTCACTTCAAGGCAGCAACGCTGTAGTTCAGTTCAGGCTTGCATGTTAAATGTTAGCTTTTTAGCTTCTATAATGCTGTCATTGGATTATCTTCAGAGTTGAACTTTTTGCCCTTAAAGAAGTAAATTTCTTCTCCAAACTTGTTAGGAGGAATATCCTTCTGAGTCACTTTAATCTTTGAAGTGTCTCATAAGGAAAAGAAAGGAAGAAAGAATTTGTGCTTGCACTGTGGTTCTGGGATGATTCTAGACCTGCTTTGCTACTTGTTATAAGTAGATCTAATAAATGCTAGTTGCTTGTTTGTTGAAGCGGTGTAGGATTGTATATAGCATCCCCTGAGGAGAGATCCCTTGGAGACTGGCTGCACTGTAGCTCTCTCTGGTGCTCAGAAGGAAAACTACATCTGATCCCCGTGCCGCTTTTGATGTGGAAATATGAATTGTGTGCTGTTTTGTGCAAGAGCTGCAGCAAATGAGGGAAATCACTGCTGTCAGGATGACACAAGTGTGGCTTGCAGGTTTTCTCTTTCTTTCTCTCACCTCACCTCCAGGCATCCCACTTTAAAAACTGTCTCTTCTGTGTTCCTCTTCTTTCCTCAAGGCTATAATTTTTTTCTTCTGCAGGTGTTGCTGTCTCTGTCCTTCACGTCCTCGCTATGCACCCAGTGTCACCATTGAAGAGGATAATTGCTGTGGCTGCAATGCCATTGCCATCCGGCGCCACTTCTTGGATGAGAACATGACCTCGGTGGACATTGTTTACACTTCTTGCCACGATGCGGTACGCAAAGTCTGCAGCCCCCTTCCTATTTGAGGCATGCTCCCAAGGCCCCTCCTAGTGGGGCTCACATGCTTCCAGCTGTAGTGGTACAACAGAGGAAAACTTGAGGTTTTTTCCGACCCTAGACTTTCTCTCTGCCAAGAATTTCTGTCCCTTGGACAGAAATATTTGCCCCCCATCAGAGGCAAATGTTAAGCTGCTGTGCTTTCCCTGAGCAGGAGAATATGTGAAGGAGAATATCTCGTCTGAGTGTTACAGCAGTGCATCTCTTCTAGGTTTATGAAACTCCTTTTTACGTGGCTGTGGACCACGAGAAGAAGAAGGTGGTCATTAGTATCCGAGGAACTCTGTCTCCAAAAGTAAGTACATTGTGCAGTGGCCTCGCACACCCTTGGTCACCCTAGCAAACTTTTAGGATAGCCTGAGATTTTCCTGGCTTGCTGTTGGTGTTTGATTTATCTGAAGCACAGTGACTCCTTTCTTCAGGATGCCCTGACTGACCTGACTGGGGATGCAGAGCGCCTTCCAGTTGAGGGTCACCATGGAACGTGGCTGGGACATAAGGTATGTAAAGAAACATGTATTGTTTTGAGGTTTTGACTTTTAGTTATAGACAAAACAGCAACAAAAAAGCAGCCTAAACTGCTTGAGTTGTTAAGAGTGTTTTATGACTGCAGTGAAATGGCTATGAGATGTAAAAAACAAATAAGTCCTGAAATCCTAACAGTTAAAATCAGTCTAGGAAAAAAAAAAAAAAAGAAAATTACAGCATGCAATTAGTAAAAAGCAAGCTGCAAAAAGAATCTGTGGGGACCTAGAACAAAATTGTGAGTGTCATTGAAATTACTTTTTCTTCCAGTGAATGACCTTTTCAGAATTTGCAATCAAACCCTGACAGTGTCTTTAAAATTCTGTTGCAATGGGATATTCATTGAACCTCGTAACCAGACATTGGCAGGGCTTGCATCTGTGTAATTAGACTGATGCCACGTGTCTGTGTTAGTGAGCAGGACTGGACTGACTAAACCAATTTAGCATAGAGCTTACCTTTGCCCCAGTCCAGCAAAATAATGGCACGCATGCTGAGTTTTAAGATTAGCAGGAGTTTGGCAGCCTCTCAAGGTGTAATGCCAGACTGGGAAAGGCAAATCCAAACTGGGGATGGCGTTTGTTGAAAGGACTGTGGTAGCTGCTGGGAAATGCTGCTGCTCAGGGAGACGAAATGCTGTGGGTGATCTGGTCAGGGTCCCTTCAGGGCAGGACATTGAGCTCATAACTCCTGAGAGCTCCTGCTTTGTTCACAGTGTCCTTCCAGATTGCCTGCTTGCTGCTCTTTGATGCTGTGCTTTATCAAGTGAAGTATTAGAAGCTGATAGCTGCGTCCTCAGATGCTCAGCTGGGTATGGGCCTCAAAAAAGAGCAGTTACCTAAAAGTGCTGTTGGGACAGCAAGGATTTTATTTCAGACTCTCAGAATGGGGCTTTTTGAAACCAGTACTTTGTACTTCTTCTTTCGCAAATGAGTATTTCTTTCATTTCCCCCAAATGGGAAAGTGAATCAGTGTAGTGGTTACACAAGGCGTTGTATAGAAACAGAGATAAATGAGGAAGTGATGTGTCACTTGGTTAATATTGAGGTATCTGAGTCTTTACTTCTCATCTAACATTTCTGAAGTGTTATGTCTGCTGTCAAAGATAATGTCACTTGGTTTTGTGCTCCTTCATCTGATTCAAAATGCCTTTGCAGAACCATTGTGATAAGCAGTTCGTATAAACCAAAGGGAAGTAAGGGGCATTTGTTCTATTTCAAATCTGCAGAAAAGCTACTAATAGATACCTATAGGAGTTGGATTCTTCTCTTGATCTTTTTCTGTGGAAATATTAATGTGCCAGTAACTTATATGAGAAACATTATCAGATCATTCCCTGTATTTTGCATTGGATTTTTATTTGCCTTTTGCATTATGTCTTTTTCTGTTGTTACAAGTGCAGAAATACTGCTTTATCTTAAATTATTATAAATATTAATCTTCAGACAATAATGCACTGTTGATTCCTGAGGGAAGCTAACAGAGATAATAGAATTTTGAGATGCAGGTCCTGATGCATTTTTAATGTCTGCAAGTCAACTTTAATACAAAAGCAGATGAAGTACCTTGCTAACACATTTAATTTGTAGAAAAGCACTGGGCTGTTTGGGAGCTTCCTGTTAGTTGCTTGGCTTCTGTTCTTTTCCTTGCTGATGCTACACACCCAGCAGGCTGGGATGCCCTGTTATCTCCACCACAAGCCATGCTGCTTCACGTGGTGCCTATCAGACATCTGAGAAATGAAAACTCTTAATGTTTGCATGAGCCTTCCTGTTGCTCCACTGGGACCACAGCTGGAAGTGTTTGATTGTCTGGGTTGCTGTACATGCCACAGCTGATGTTTGTGAGGTTTCTGAGCTATTTTGGGTCAGCTGTAGGTAAGGTTTGTGGGTTGGTGTGCTGAAAAAAAAAGGAAAATAGGAGATTGTCGCAGCTTGGAGGGGAGATTAACCACAGCAAAATCTTCAGTGCTTGAGGTAAAATACAATGATTTTTATAATGGACTTCATTTAAAAATAACTGTAAGTAGGGGGCATGAATCCATTCTGAATTCTGCAGAGGACAAAACTCCACAGGTGATGATTTTATGGAGGTTTGGTCACTGGTCTTCAGCCAGCCAAAATGACAGTGAATAGCTGTGCAGGAGGAAGCCCTGAATGCTCAGCTGTGCCAACAGCTCTCACCTGATGTCACAGCAGTCAGCAACAGCCAGAACTTTCTTTTCTACCACAGATACCTTCTTCAGTGGGTTTTCCCATATTGCGGAGCAGTTTCTTGCCTTCAGGCTGCAAAGCAATACAGAATATTTCTGCCTCGCTTTTCCAAGATGTTTGGTTCATTTAGTTATTTACATGTGGGGTTTGAAAGTTAAGCCCAGATCATTTTATTCCTATAAAACTCATGAAGCCTAAATATGACTCTGTGGGGACAAGCCTCATTCTATAATAACGGACATCACTGTCTATAATAGAACATGCAGTAATCATTGAAAATACTGACTCCTAACTATGGAGGTAGATATGCTTTTTAAAAACAGGATCCTAAATTCATGTTAGAAATTTATATAAGCCACCTGCCATTCACTCCTCATTAGAGTCAGAAATGGAGACTTTTTTGAATGCAGCTGAAGCTGGCTAGCTGCTGGGAGCTGAACACAGGCCTGAAATACCATGGCATCTGCTTGTTTGATAATGACAGTGACGTTATAAGTTCAGCAGAATCACCTGTGTTCCTTTTCTTCAGTGGGCAGATTGGTGTTTGATATCAAGGGCTTTGAAAATTCCCCATTTCTTTGCTTTCTGAAGGAGACCATACATTCCTTTCTGCCTTTGTGATTAAACAGTGCTTAATAAAATTCACTTTGTACTTAAACTGTTTGCAGGTAGGGGTGTGATGGAAAATACAAGAGGAGATGATCTTCTCTGGTTTTTGGCCCAGACAGTGCAAATTATTTGAGGGCTGCAATCACCAAATTAGAATTAGCAATATCTCTGTATTTGTGTTTACCCTGAGCTACATCACCATTTTTAGCCTTTGCAGTTCAGGCTTGTTCACCTCTGAATATTAACTGTAATAAAGGCATAACCAAGAATTTATGCAACAGACCAAACTGCATCTCTCTTACACAGAGTGAGACAAACCCTGAGTGTAGCCATCGGCTGGGAGAGTGGATAGATGGTTAGAACCAGACCATCCATTTGTTTCCTATCTCCCAGCATTCCTTAGCTTCTAGGGAATAAAAACCTTTAAAATATAAAATTCCATTAACGTCCTCAGACAGCTGAATTCACTTAATAGTTGCTGACACCTCCAGTCATCAGCAGCTTTCCCACACAGATAGAACTGCCACTTTTTCCCTGCCTTGGTGTTTGTGCTGTCTCTCTGTGAACCTTTTTGGCTAGCTTTCCTTTGCAGATTTAAATGCAAGAGTGCAGCTCTGGGGTTAAGATACTGACATGCAGAAAATCAAAGTTCACTTCTGCTGCTCCACTGTACTGCACACTGTAGGTCTCAGTGTGGGCTGACCCACAAGACACACAGCCTTGCATTTGAGTTAGTGGTGTGGTTTGTTTCTTTCTCAGGCTTTACGCCATGAGCCCAAGAATTGGATCGATGCGTGCTGTCAGAACTTAAGAGCTGTCATTACTCCTAAGTACTTTGTGGCTCTGGTGAGCCAAAACATGTGCCTCATGAGGCAGAGGCAGCATTCTTCCTCAGCCCTGACACATGCTGTGCACTACTCAGCACCGAGGGCAGTTTGCTGCCTCCTCCAGCAGTACTGATATGCAGCTGTTCATACTGTTCTCTTTTTGTTTGCACTCAGGGAATGGTGCTATCTGCTGAGTACATCAAGAAGAAACTGGAGCAAGAGATGGTGCTTTCTCAAGCCTTTGGACGAGACTTGGTGAGCATTGGCTTTATTTTGTCACCACGGGCTGTACAGAAGTTGAGATTTCCTTCTATTGTACTGATTTCTCAAATCTCAATTCCTATCTCTCTGGCTTGCCAGACAGACCTCTCATTACTTACCCCTTTTTATTTTTTATTTTGAGGCCTTCTTCCCAAGAGTACTGAGGAGCTCCTGATATTTTTTTCTCAGACAGGAAGTCCCATTTGGTGGCCATGCAGGACAGGGAACATTAAAAACAAATCAAGAGGAACTAAAATCCCATCTCTATGGAGATCTTCTGTGGAGACAGCAGTGGGATGTCACGCTGCCTGTCTGTATGCACACATTTCCTTTAGCTCTCTATCAGAAGAGGACTCGAGAGAGGTGTTAAGAAGATGCTTACCTTAGCTTATATGTCAGTTATAGCACTGTCAACCTCCTCGCAGAGGACATTTTCTGCACTGCCTGATTCCCTGCTGCCAGACAGCTGTCCTCTTCTCATGCCCATATTGTGCCTTGGCCTGAGCAGGCCCATGGGAAATTAGTGGTAGTGAAAAAGAGAAGAAGAGTGAAAGGCTTGATGCTTCCGTGGAACTGGTGCCGTAGCAGTTAGCGCTGAAGTGTCTGCCTTGTGATGTTGGTAGGTGTAAATAGGAGGTACAGAGGCATTGATCTTCTTTATATGGTGCTTTATTCCTCTCTGCCTAGAAAATGAAAATTGGATTTGTTCAGTGAGGTGTTACTCACAAGGGTGTTTTCTTCTGTCCTTGCTATCTGATGGGAAAGGCTATGGTAGCTGAGTACTTAGTCTAGCTTCTGTGTGTGATGCTAGGCATCCTGTTTGGTTTTGTTCAAAGCTGGCTTGATGTATGGTGGATCTAATTTCTATGTAATGTAATGTAGTGTAACTAGCTAGGCCTAACTCACACGGGTGGAGAGAGAACTTGAATAATGAGATGGAACTGTTGCCTTGTGGTTAGGAAATGAAGTGCTGGCTGAAGCTGAACTTTGAGATACGTATGGAAAAGTGAGAGAGCATAAATGCCATTCTAGGTCCTACCAAGAGTTCATCTAGCCCAGCACGTTTTCTGACAACTGCCAGCAACAGATTTCAGGTAAAAAATGCAACAAGTGGGATTCACCTGACAGGCTAGCAGACATGGTGCTGACTTAGGTGTGCTGTTCGTAAGTAAAATGACACAAAGATAGATCTTTCATTCCTGTGGCTTTTTCTTTGTTCTCTTTTTTCTCATCTTATGTGGAAGCCTGAGCACAGCTGCAGCTGGTTACCCAAGACCTTAGAGAGTAGGAGCTGCATTTTCTGACCGTGTGTAAGCCCTACAGTGTACTGGCAGAGCTCTGTGATACTGAATTGAAACAAGATTAAAATTTCTGAAAATTAACTTACTGAGTCTGAGGCATGCCTAGCACTGTAACCTCTGAATAACAAACACTACAAAATGTTAGAGAATAGTTTTATCTATGAATTAATCAATTGCCAGCTCTTGGGAACATCTAGACTTCAGAAGACTGTTGTTCAAACTGCAGGTTAGGATTTCTGTTTTTCAGCATTCACTAGCAATGAAATAAATGAGGAAAAACCTTCATTTCCAGAATCAGAGACCTCTGATTTGTGAGCCTGGACCTGAGTATTATCAGAAGGCTATTAGACATGAGGAGAAGCAAAAGGCTCATCAGATCTATGTAACTCAACTTAAGCGTATGTTTCATTTTTCTTTCAGGAAAGATCCAATAGGTCAAGGACTGACTTGTGGAGGTGTAAGAGAAAATGCCAGAAGAGAATTAATTCCAGTGTACCTTTGGAAGAGGCAATAGTAAAGGGCAAAAAACTGCTCCCATTTCAAAATCTAACATAACATCACTAACTCCCATTGGAGGAGCAGTTGGTTAGTTGGAGTGCAGAGTGCTCATGTAGAGGAACAACCCAGCAGCTGGGAAAAGGGACAGATTTGGGGGTTTGTGAAGTTTCTTTCCAGTCTGACTTCAATTTCTTGTTTTGTTTTTGTTTTCATTTTCAGGGGAGAGGAACAAAACACTATGGCCTGATTGTGGTTGGCCATTCCCTAGGGGCTGGCACAGCTGCCATCCTGTCCTTCCTCTTGCGTCCACAGTACCCATCACTGAAGTGCTTTGCTTATTCTCCCCCAGGTGGGCTGCTGAGGTAGGTGTTGGGTCAGGAGGTCTGGTGGCAGAGAGGGGGTGCGTAGCTGAAGTGGCATCAGATTCTGGTTGTGCTGTTCTGATGACCAGTAAAAGATAGTCTGTGCCCTGAGAAGCATGCAAGAAAAAGTGTAGTAGCAGTTGATGGGAGCTGAGGCTTGTGGGCAGCTTTTTTCTGTATTAGAATTTGAAGTTTAGGTTCTGATGGCAGCTGGCCACTCCCAAGTATTCAGATTTATGACTCTGTTGTGTGCTTCTGTAGTTCTGATTTAACTCTACATAGTGGGAAATGCAAGTTGGGTGGACAGGGTGAAATTTCATCCCTTATTGTCTGTGCAGTACCAGTGTGTTCTCTCCCCATCTTCTGCCAATAAGTGTCTGGAATGGGAGATGTTTGCAGGTGTCTGTATCAGATTTAGTTGTCAGGACTCCTTTTGCAACTGACAGAGAAATTGGCACTTGTAAACACCTGTGGATTAGAAGCTTCCTGTGGTGGTTACTGCATCATGTTCCAGGAGTGGCCAAGGGATTTTAATCATTCTGCTAATGAATCTGGACATTAGCATGCCTTGTTGTGATAATAATACATAGTCGTTTGTGGCTGTAGAGGCATTGCTTTGTAGAACTGTTTTCCTGAGAATCTCCATAGCTTTTTGCTTAGAGCTTATCCTCCCAAGATCCCCTGATAGAACATAGGCTAAGCTGTACCGCTTCAACTGATTCTGAGCTCAGGGTGCCTTGAGCACAAGGTTCAAGGTGCCTCTGACTGCCACACCTTTCTTGTGATTTGCTTTGTGCCCATGATCATCTCTGGGAGAAAGGTGCTGGCCTCCATCAGTGGTGCTTGATTCATAAGTGAGGTCTCTAGAAGGCAGCTGGTTGCAGAACAAGGTCATAGGGTGGAAGCCTCAATTCCCTCTTGTCTTGGTGCTTAGGTTTCTGCAGGAGGTGACTATCTTAGTTCTGTGATGTCTTTTTAGTGTCAGAGGCATGGAATACCTTCTTCCATAGTCTCCTGCCATTCCTAAAGGATAGGAGAAGTGTTAGGAGGTGCTGAGTGTAGAGTACTTCCTTATCCAAGCCTATTTGGAGCCATGTGCAGGTAAGGAAGAAGGAGTTGCTCTATTTGAGCTGCACCCTTACAGAGTAATGTTGCTTGGGGCATGAGATTGGTGTATCAGGATCATCTTAGTGTGCAAGTTCTAAGGACCTTGAGCAGCTTGCACTATGTTTTTTATGATGCAGGTTCATTGTTTAGTAACCTCTCAGACACCAGTGGCAAATTGGAATGAATTGCAGTTTGCTGCTAGTGAAACCCTGTTTGCTTCTTCTTGGTCCTGTTTCTCTTCCAGTGAGGATGCCATGGAATATTCAAAAGAGTTTGTGACTGCAGTCGTGCTTGGCAAAGATCTAGTGCCCAGGCAAGTTGAGAAGAGTCCGAATTCCTTGATGAGTATCTGCTGTTCTGTACCAGTCACCTATTTCCAGTCAGAAACACCCAGTTCATACCTGTCTTGTTTCCTCATTTACCTGTCCTTGTATGCTTCTCACTTGTCCTCCTAGTTACCTGTACCTTTTACCTGGACACCTATATTGGTGTTTTATATGCCTTTTTATAGGCATATCCCTCTCCATCTCTCAGTCATCTGTATGAAATAAAAAGCTGAAATCCAGCCTCTGTGATTATACTCATGGTAGTACCTGACATGCCAGTGCCATCTTCGTGATTGTCTGTGTTATCTCAGTCCTCTTCACTCTGCCCTGAGCTAGATGTGCTCTCATCACATTTTATAGTGTTGCCTATCATCTCACATCTCTGAACCACTCCCCCATTCCTTGTCTTGACATTCCTCACTGCTTGTCATCTCCTGTGACACATTCTGCTGAACATGGCAATGGGCTAGGAGTCAAACAACCTGGGTTTTATTTTTAACTTCTGCCCCATTGTGTGACCTTAGACAATTTTTGTCTGTACGATATTAGGCATGTAGAGTTAGTGGAGGAAGAGTACTATGATGTTCTCTATATCAGAATCATAGAATGGCCTGGGTTGAAAAGGACCACTTTTCATCTAGTTTCAACCCCCCTGCTATGTGCAGGGTTGCCAACCACCAGACCAGGCTGCCCAGAGCCACATCCAGCCTGGCCTTGAATACATCCAGGGATGGGGCATCCACAACCTCCTTGGGCAACCTGTTCCAGTGCCTTCTGTTAACCTGTAAAACAGAATCTTGTATATTCTATAATGTTTAATGTTGTCATATAGCTCTGTGCTATCTTTCTTGATTTATCTGTTCTGTGGCATCCTATACTTGAATTGTTTCTTGTCTCCTTGTTTTCTCTGATTGCCCCACCACCCTCATCTGTTCATTGACTTCTTGTATCTGTGTTTACTGCTCTGATTCTGTTATTGCATTTCATACTTGTTTGTTGTTACAGTGGCTTCCTCTCGTGTTTTACCCTGGTTACTGGTCCCAGGTGATGGCACAACTCACTTCTGAAGTGATCTGCGTTATTGTTGCATTCTTGTTTCTTTTGTAGCATAGTTTCTTACTGTTCTGCACTATATGTCTCTACTGTCCTGCTCCCTGTCTGCTGTTCCCTGCACAGCTGTTGTAAGCACATCTTCCTCTCTTCCCAGAATTGGTCTCTCTCAGCTGGAGGGATTTCGCAGGCAGCTTCTGGATGTTCTTCAGAGAAGTAACAAACCAAAGGTAAGAAATGAGGATGAGCAGATTCCTGAAGGCAAGTGTCTGAGCAGTGATGATAAAGTTTCAGTGTCACACAGCAATACTGCAGAATTCTCCTGACTCCCAGATCTCCTCAGATCCACCATCACTGTTGTTTAGCTAAACAGAGGGATGATGGAAGCAGCTGGAGAGGACAGGGCTGAGAGAAACACTCTGCTTGTAGGCTGGCTTGTAACTCTATGGAAATTCTGGCTCATGTGCTTGGAGTTCATCATCACATGTCTAAAAAAAACCTGAAGTTTTCTCATCTGAGCTTGTTAGGAAGTCTGTGTTGCAGCTATAGCTTTTCCTGGCTAGTAACAAGTGATTGGTATCAGGCTGGCAAGTGCAGCATCTGTCTGCTTGTAGGCACTGCTTTGTGCTCTCCAGGTGGTGCTGTTCTAGAGTAAGTGGCCTGTTAATGTTTTAGAGTTAAGAAACATGCAAAATTGTTCTTCCCTGGGATTCATTACCATTACAGTGAGGTGGAAAAAACATTAGATTTTAAAATTGTTTCTAAAATTCTAAGATGTTAGATAATATCTGTAGGGTAAAAAACTGAGCGGATGTTTTTTCTTGGTAGAATTCTGTATTGCTGTTGTTTTGGTAAACTTTTGATTTTTAGGTTTGGGTTTTTTTAGTGCATAAAGAAAAGCATAAAGGGAATTTTTGTTTGCTTGAGTACCTTTTGCTTCTTTCCATGCATTAAAAATTCAGATTATCTTTACCTTGTTTATCCTGGGAAGATGTCCCATTGGTGGACAAAGATATGCTTGCTCTAGATCCCTAACTCTGCAAAAACATCCACAACAAGATTTTGCCACTTTTAAGATTAAAATAAGGAAAGGAAGGAAGGCAGAGCAGGGTTATCTCTCCTAAGGTCTGCTATTCAAAAACAGCAGGGACACAAACTCTGTTTTATTTTCCCCTCTTTTCTGGTGTCAAGTATTCAGTTCAAGTAAACCTATCAACAGTATATTGTGAGACAGCTCTGCTTTTCTAATCTTCTTCTCTTCTCCATATTCTCCCACCTTTCTGTGGTGTCGGACAGTGGCGGATCATTGTGGGTGCTACCAAGTGCATACCCAAGTCAGAGCTTCCTGAAGAGACAGAAGAGAACTCAGTAACGAGCAACCGCCTCTGGACCCACCCCAGTGATCTGACCATTGCCCTGTCTGCCAGCACACCACTCTACCCACCTGGCCGCATCATCCATGTGGTGCACAATCATCCTGCAGAGCAATGCTGGTGAGTGGGCACAGTGCCCTTTTCCAACAGAAAATAAATTCCCAGGAGAGCAATCCATCTATGAAGGAAGTGGCTTTTTTCACTGCCTTACGGTGGCAGTGATTGCACTGTGAGGATAGAAAGATACTCATGTCACTGTGCAGTGCTTTAGAAGAATGTGTACCTAATATCTCCTCCTTCTGTTTTTCCTCCTGTTGTTTTTTTCTGTCTCTGTAACCTGCTGTTTTGCATGCCAAAACACTGGCTTGCTCTTCCATCCCCTGCTCCTTGTTTTCTCCTCTGGATCCCAACTCCTTTTTTTAGTTGCTGTGAGCAAGAGGATCCCACTTACTTTGCTATCTGGGGTGACAATAAGGCATTTAATGAAGTGATCATCTCACCAGCAATGTTGCACGAACACCTCCCATATGTGGTCATGGAAGGGCTCAACAAGGTAATACTGAGAATTGGGGTCTGAGGGTGGGGAAGTGTGATACAACGGACTGAGCTTGAATGCAAGGGAGGCCTGGGTTTGGGCAGGAAAAGCGTGGCATGGTGAGGTGAGCTGTAGGCACGATATCTACAAAGCCAAAACTCTGTGTGTATCGGAGAGCCAGAGATATTCTGGGTGGGATTTGGGCTTATTAATTCTCACTGCAAGAGCACTTCTGTGCCCCTATATGAGGTATTAATGTGAGGTTGGGTGGTGAGTGGTTCGTCCTCTCAAAGCTGGCTATTACAGCATGCAGTTCAGGTGAAATGTTGTGAGCTGTGACAGCACTGGATGTTCATGCGTGCAGCTGCACTGGGTAGTTCATAAGTGTTGCTGCAGCCCCTGTTAGTCTGTGGAGTGTCTGAACTTGTGTAGTGGTTGTGGAATGTGGAATGGGTCTCTGCCTCTAAATGATGATTTGTAGCCATGCAGCTCTACCATGAGTTTTAGCCAAGTCTGCTGTGCTGTTCTGGTCTAAAAGTTGTTCCTGACAGCATCTTTGGTAATCTCCCCTGTCCTGGGTTCCCAGTAGAACATCCTGACAGGGCAGACTGCCAAAATACGCTCATTTAATCCTTTATGTCAAGATCTTACTGTGTGCTTGTGGAAAGCATCAGTAAGAAACAGTGGCAAATCCAGCAGTTTGGAAGTTCTGAGCTGAGAAGAGTGAAACTGCTGTCTCCACTGAAGCACTGCTGTTCCTCTGCTTGCCTTGTATAGGTCTTAGAGAATTACAATAAGGGGAAAACAGCCTTACTTTCTGCAGCAAAAGTGATGGTGAGCCCTACAGAAGTGGATCTCACTCCAGAGTTGATCTTCCAGAGTCAGCCCTTGCCTAGTGGACCCTCTGTGCAGATTGGAACTGGAGCCCTAACAGTGGACAGGAGGAGCAGCAGTACAAAGTAAGAATACATCTTGGATTTCTTTGGAGGACTGTTGGCACTGGGTGTGGGACTGATCCTCTCTTGGGGCATTGTGATCAGTAGTGTAGATCCAAGGACTGCCTGTATGAGACTTCTAATTAATGTGACACAAGACATGATGAGTCCAGGAGAAAAAAAAAAAAGATCCTTTGTGTTGCTCAAGAATCTGTGAGTACAGCAGGGTCAGGAGAACCTAGGAGCTGAAAATATGGAAGGTTCCTTTTCTTATCCAGACAAGTAGGCTTTTCCCTGGAAGCAGAAAAGCAAAGCTTGCAGTCTTGCAGCCAAACTCTGTGTGAATTATGTGGCCAAAGATAGCCCATGGCACTGATTCTCAAAAGCTGTGAAGCAGTGACAGCCATAAGCTTACAGCACATAGACAGACATGTGAAGTTACTTCATGTAAAATGACTTGCATAATTCTATAAACTGGAGAATCTGGGAATATGGATATAAGTGTTGGACAGGGTTACAGAACAAGTATAGAAGCAATGTAATGTGAGGAAAAAGCAGCTGGTGTCCTGTTTGGCTCTCAGGATGTTCACTCTGGTGGAAAGCAGGCAGAGGGAAAAGTCATGTACTAAGTGCTGAAAGCATTCCTGTAGGGGGCATTTTTTTTTATTGTTCCTGGCCATTGGATACTGACATTGTTAGTCTGTCAAGGGCCAAAAGGTGAAGGTTCATCTAGGAGGTATACAAAGAATTGGTTTGGGTAAGACTTCCATCTTACAGAATACATAAACTGCTTTCTATCCAGGAAAAAATGACAGGGAGACTCCCTGGCTGATTTTCAGGTAGCAACTGAGGTTTTGCAGAAGAGCACAGATTTGTCTTTCTGGTTTCTTTCTGCCCACATTTTTTGTGTTTGAGACTTATTTCAAAATAGAACATGTGACTTCCACCACAGCATTGCATTATAGAAGGCAAACCTGCAGACCAAACAGGGGAGTGAGAAGATGAAAGAGAAGGTAGTTTGTACTTGAAGATGGTAGGCACAGTGAAAACAGAAAAACGTTGTAAGAGGCATTTCTACCACTTCTATAAAGCTTTTTTTCTTTTTTTGCAATACACACAAGCTGTTGTTGTACAATTGATAATTTTATAAAGTGTTTGTATTTTTGTAGTTGATTCCTGTAAACATTCTTGTTCCCCCTCTTCCCCGCCTCCATAAGAAGGTGGAGGTACAGAATAAACTCAAGATAAGAAGATTTCCTTTGCAAGAGAAGGACTTCTAGAACAGAGATCTTGGGTAGAGACCCAACAAGAAGCTGTGTGCACCTGGGTGAGGTGCTTTGAGTGATGCATGGCTGAGCCTCTTTGAAGCAGCACAAGTGAAATGTAAATTAAAAAAAAAAAAAAAAAATGACAGCAAATGATAGAAAAATGTTAAGGCTTTTGTTGCAGAAAGAGTGGTCAGAGACAGCAAAGGAGAGCTGAGATAGGAGTGGAAGAGGAGGCAGCAGACAGTGCTTGTGATGAAGACGGACAGAAAACAGTGTAGGTCAAACAGCAGGGACAGGAGTGATAGCTTCTGTCAGAGCAGACCCACTGCTTCCTTTAGAGGTGAGTGAAGGCAGAGTGGGAATCCTGAAGTACTGTTCTGAAAGGAATGGAGAGGAGGGCAGAGAGGTTTGTGGCAGTTGTTAGGGAAGGCAGAGTTCTAGCCAGGTTAACTCAAAGTCAGAGCTAGTTTACTGCCTCAGACTCTCTCCTGGGGTTCGTGAAACCTCTTCTCAGAACATTGCTGCTCCTGAAGATAAAAAACACATCTCCCACAGTTGTGCATTGCTCTGGTTAGATCAGCAACACGTGACCTCAGTGTGCATGAGGGACTCTGTGCCTCAGGTTTAGTTTCTGTGGCTGTTCTGGCAGCTTGTGGTTCTGAGGAGTGAAGCAGCCTCACGTTCTCTGTTTGTCATTGCAGGAGCAAGTCCCATTCTGAAATCAGCTTGGAGGGGTTTTATGAGACAAAGCCACTTTCTCCTGTGCAGAAAGACCCCGTAGAGCTTCTTCTCCTGGACACAAAGGAACGTCTGTCTGTGGAGCTGCAGGACCGCCGTGCCCCTCTCGCCACCATGGAGAGCCTCTCTGACAACGAATCCATCTACAGCTTCGATTCGAGGCGCTCCTCTGGTTTCCGGAGCATCCGAGGCTCCCCCAGCCTCCACGCTGTCATGGAGAAGGATGAGATGCACTGCTTTTATATAGACCCCGCTATCCCTGAGGAGAACCCCTCCCTCAGCTCTCGGACAGAGCTGCTGGCTGCTGATAGCCTCTCCAAGCACTCCCAGGAGACTCAGGCTCCCGACAACGCGCTCAACAGCGGTGGCACCACCCCTCAGCGGCGCTGCAGTGAGGAGGGGGCCAGCAGTGAGGGGGACCGTGTTTCCTTAGCCCCTCGTGAGGAGCTGTCCCTCCAGAATGGACGGCTCACCGATGTTCCCAGTCCGCAGGTGCTGGAATTTGCTGAGTTCATAGACAGCCTCTTTAATTTGGATAGCAAAAGCAGCTCTTTCCAGGACATCTACTGCATGATGGTATCAGATAGCTCCAGTGACTTTGCGGAGATGCCCAAGTCTGTTAGTGATCAGGAGATCCTGTTGAGAGCACAGTATGAACCCAACTTAGTCCCAAAGCCCCCGAGGTTGTTTGCAGGCTCAACAGATCCTTCGTCGGGCATCTCTGTCTCACCTTCCTTCCCCCTTAGTTCATCTGGAGAGCTCATGGACATCACTCCCACAGGCGTGAGCAGCCAGGAATGCCTGGCCACTGACAAAATCCGGACTTCCACCCCCACTGGGCATGTAACCAGCCCTGCCAAGCAGGAGGACCTCATGATTTCGGCCCTCTAGTGCAGGGTAAAGGGGTGCGGCTCTGAGAGCTGATCCCATAGGCTGAGTGCTGGGATAATACTCGGAGAGGAGGTGGTCGTCAGGCAGTTGGAATTGGTGGAGACAGCTGGAAACATTCCTTCTGGGGTGACACGGTGGTGGCACGCCGTCTGGAGGATGGATTGTGCTCGAGTACCATGCTTACTGCTGGGAGAAGAAGCATTGCCTCACAAGGCCTGCTACACTAAGAGGGTCTGAGTCACTAAAGGTAGATGCAAGTTCCCTACCTCAGCCTGTCTCATTCCATGTAAGAGGCAGATTCCTTGCCCCAGGGCACCTGCTGAGTTTGGGAGTGAGATGCCCTGCTACAGGGAATGCTCAAGGGCAAAGGGGTAGAAGTTTGAGAGTTGGATAGACAGAAGCAAGGGGGGCAGGCCAGATTTTCCCCCCCCTCCCTCCCCTCCCTTGGTACCATTTCAGTGGTTTTGGAAATGAACGGATTGAGACTTTGGGCCCTGTTGCACTACCATGTCAGATCTGGCCCAAGATCCAATTCGTCACACTTCCATGGGGATTGCTTTCCTGGGACACTCTCCTCTTTTAAAGCCATTGGGGCTGTATTTTCCCCAAATGCAGTCTCCCCTTCCCTGGCCAGGTGCAGCAAGAATTGGGCTGGCACTGTGTTATCTCTCCCCTGAGTACTTCTGTGTTCAATGACCGCCAGGCTGCTCCTGAGAGGAACGGAAACTGCTCTGAAAAGCCCAAAGCCCTCTGCCATGTCTCTCCTTCACCAGAAAAAGTTCTCCTGGACATCACCGTCATCACTCGGTGGCCTGGACTGCTCTGAGCTGGCGATGCTTCTGCAGGACTGACAGCATTCTCATCTCAGAGCTGCATGGATGGATCAACTCAAAGATTCAAATGGCTCGTCTACACCCAGCGTTGCTTCCTAGGCACTCTAGAATCCCTTCCTGGACCCTGCCAGGTCCTCACGCTACCCTTATGCAGTCATCACAGATCAGTGCCAGCCACTGTCATTGGGAGTTCAGGGAAAAGATGAACTTTTACTAAGTATTGGAATCTCTTGTATGTTTACAAAGCTGCTGAGCTTTTGGAAGGTATTTATTAAGCAAACGGGGAGGCTCTCTCTAGGCAAAAAGTATATTCATTCTCTGCTCCCTGCGCCATTCCCTCTGGAGGCTGAGGGGAGAGAGGGTAAACAGGTATGCTCACAAGTCTCCTGCTTTAGAAGCAGGGTGGGATGATGGGAGACCGTTTGGCTCTGAGTCTGGGGGGAGCTGTGTCTCTTACCCATTCTCCCTGATGCGCAATGTGTTACAAAGCTCAACCAAGTCATTAGTGAAAGTACCTAAGCACTGCTGTGCAGAGCCTCAATGCCCAGAGGAGCCTGCTGGAGCTTATCCAAGTAGGGTATCTCCCTGGTTTGAAGCAGGAAAGAAATTACCAATCTAGAAAGTTAAACATACTGTGACCTTGTGCAATCCTTTAACTGACAGAACATTTTCAGCGGAGTTACCAATGCAGTCTCATTGGAGCTCTGTCCTCCCTCACTTGAAAAGAAATTCCTCTTTTAACTTCCTTCTAACACTAGGGATGTGACTTCCCCCTCCTTAGCTGTGGTATTACCAATGTAGGAAGATGCTGTGCTTCCCAGGAGCTTGGTTTGCAACGGTTCCTGGGCTCCCGTGTTCTCTTAGGCTCTGGCTGTGCTCACCAGCAGCCCTGGTCATGGCTCAGGGCTGTGCTGCCCTGGATGCAGCACAGAGAGCACAGTGGTATCAAATATTGTCACATCAGAGCAGGAGCACCTTATAGCTGCTGTGTGTTGATGTAAGTAACTTCAGGTGCACAGAAATGAACTGGACTTTGTCGGAGTGCTGGTCTCCTGCTCAATTTCGTGTAGGATACTGTATCCCCCTGCTCTTTAAAAATTACAGGGCCCTTAGAAATGCAAGGCTTTTGTTCAAACAGGCAGTAAAATGTTGTCCCCGTGCGTTAGATCCCAGAGGGGACCTTTTCTATACAGTCTTGATTTGGAGGGAAGAACCCCCTCTGAATTAGCTGTAATCTGTAAAAGATAAAAAAAAAAACCCCACTTTGTTCCAAGCAACAAGAAGTTGTTTGTTTTGTTAGTCCTTCAGAATAGAGAAGTGTTCCCTTTTGCTGGGAGGTGATGGTTCAGGAGCTGATACAGACAGCTGTGTAAGTGCCATCAGATCATCCACCATTGCAGACCACAGGGGAAGGCTGACTTGCTGCAGGTAGTCAAGAAGCACTACAAGGGTGATGTCCAGAAATACGCACATGGGTAGTTGTGAGGGAAAAGGGAGCTGAAACATAGGGAGCCTGAGGCTAGCAGGCTAGCTCACCTCCTGATGCAGACTGCTGCCATGCACATACAGTGGGGGAAAGGACTTTGCTTCTGTCTTTAGTTGTTGGCAGAAAGTGGGTAGTAAAAACACTTAGCACTTCGGCAGAGCTTTATATCTGCAAAGCACTTTACAAACATGAAGGAAAGAATCACCTCTGTCCCTGGCAGCGAGACTGGTTGGAACTACTGGTCCTATCTGAGGGATGGTGAGGAGATGATGCAAGCTGAGAAAGGTGGATAACTTCCCTCTTAAAAACAAGTTGTTTCACTAGTGACCTGATGCTGAATGGCTCACAGTATTGCACTAGGAAGTCACTTCTGACCTGGGTACCTCCCATATGTCCTGGAAAACAATCATGGTGTGACTGTTTCTTTCTCTGTGCCATTGGAACTGTGTCCTTAGGGAATGGGATGACCTTGCCCTGACCAGCTGTAGCAGGAAACAGCCTGGCATGCTGCATTTTTTTTGCTCTGTGATTATTGGGCTTCTCTGAAAAGCCTGGAAATGCCTCATATTTGTGACCTGGCCTTGCTGTAGACCAAGTCAAGGTGCAAAAGAACCCTTCTGGTCAACGTTCTGAGTGTACCACATTATGGGTGATTCCTCATTTTCCATTGCTCTGCTAACAAACAGATCTGTTCCCAGTCCTCACAAAATAGTCCTCACTGAGTAAATCCACATTCTTTGCATTATTCCTGCTTTCAATGTCTGAGTGTCTTCATTCTTATCACTTCCGTGCTTCAGGAACCTCTGGACAGGCTGCTCTCCTGTTCTGTCCTGGCAAAGCTGCAAACACATCCTAAATCTGTAGCTACATCACTCATTCATACTGCATGCTATTCTTGCTTTCTCTGCCCTCACTTCTGCTCTGACACATAGCTGTCTTTGGAAACTTGAAGCTGCTTCTGATTTCTTAATCTCTCAGCTTCTGGTTCCTGCCCTTAAGCTTTGTGCCTTTTGGAGTTTGTGCGTTGCACTGATATTTCAGTGGGATGTCCCACTGTGTGTGGAGGCAGCACTGGGAGAACAGTTTGTAGTGCAATAGCACATCCTTAAATCTTCTGTCAGGTTTGCTGGTACAGGTGTGAAGCTAAGACCACCAATGTCCAGCATTGGAACATCCCCTGCCCCTGTCCAGAAGGTGTTCACAGGATGCAAGGTATTTGCCATCTGGTTTTACAGCCACAGGCTGCCCTCCAACTCATGGAAGCGAGTTGAAGGAGGCCCCTTTGATAATAATATAGTGAGTTTTGATAATCAAGCCTTTTGCTTGGTGCTGGCTGAATTTGGAGGCTCTTCTGCATGAATAGCAATTGCTCTTATTGTTTCAATCACAACAGTACCAACAATGCAGGATCCTTCTGTGCGAGTATGCAGAAGTGCTAAATGGAAAGGCAGCTCTTCCCCAGAGCCTCACATTATCCCCTCTCCTCCACAGAGCTTTGCGTGCATTTTCTCTTAGAACGGATGTTCCCTCATCTCTGTGCTCCCTATTCCTGTTGCCAGGAGCTACCTCATTTCTTGGTTACACCATCTCAGGATGATGGGGTGTCTTAGTGCACATCCTTGGTAGCACTACCTAAAAAGCTGTCCTTGCAGATCTTGTGACGACCCAAAACACAGGTGAATGGGATTCCTGATGCTGTGCATCGTCCCTAGATTCTTGTCTTGCTGCACTTCTGTGGCAGATAAAGCTATCAAGAAAGGTCAAAGTACTTTTGACACCAAGAGGCTCGGCATCTGTGGCTTTTGCTTACCTGGTTTTTGATCAATATTTTCAGTGTTCATTCATAATTTCTGCAATCAAACCACACAGGAGTTCTTTGAGATGTTTTGCTCGCTCAGAGGACTGAGGTGGCAAAGCTGGTTGTGAGCATAGACGTATAAATCCAGTGATCCCTGTTTATGTGCTTTTAGGATGTTAGCTGAAGATCCCAAGCAGGAGCAGGACTGAAGTGCTGCTGTCAGTGGACGAGGGCACCTGGAGGGGAAGAGCACTGAGGGTATGTGTTCCTTGGGGAGTGTGTGCTCCTTGGAGATTATCCTGCTGTGGGAATCTCTCTTGGCACACAGTCTCCAGCAGAGGAAACAGAACACAGCTGTTCTGTATGAAGCCCACTGAACTGGATGAATATGGTACTACTTGGGTTATTTTACTTTACCAGGTGTCTTTCTGATTTGTCTCTGCTCTAGGTTCAGTGATCTTAGTCTTAACGTGCTTTAAAGCTTCTCCTTGTTTTTGATTAATACTGCTTCAATCTTTTAATCCTTGCTGCAGCCTGTTTTCAGGCTGGCTGATGAGGTCTGTTGATTTGTAAAATACTTCTTTTTCATATATTCTTCATGCACTTACCTGCTATTAATTGCTGCCAAATTGTGCGTGCCAGTATGTTTAGAGCTTTCCTTTCACAGCTGTTTCCCTATGGGGATAAGGCAGCTCAGTCTTAACCAGCCCAAAATCCACATTTTTTTGTCCTTTGTCATTGTATTGGCACCCTGCTGCTTGCCCCTTTCCTAGTATCCAAACAGGATGCACATTACCCTTGTCTATGCAAACAGTGCCTGGGTTCCTCTATGCATTTCACAACTGAATAAATGGGTGTCTAGGTATAGAGAAACTTGTTGGGGTGTCTTTATCTACTGAGTTTATCCAGTGAACTACAAGCTCCTGCTTGCTTCTGTTGGATGTCACGTGCACACATAAGTGCTGCATACATTCACCAGTTCTGGCCATATCAAAATCTCCCAAGGACATTTAAGATCACTTCTAGCCCCAACAAGCCTATCAGCTTTGCCATTTGCTTAATTATAGGATGATATAATTGGGTTGAAAGGGATCTTAAAGAACATCTAGTTCCAACCCTCTTGGTGAGGGAGCTTAAAAGCTCCCTTCTGTAGCATTACACTTCTTTCTGCTCAGACAGTTGAAGTCTGAGATCCCCTCCATGCTATCACTTATTTCTGATCCCTTTTTCAGTTCACCCCACCAAATATGAATTTTTGCTGAGCTGTTTTTTAATTATTCTGCTGTCAGCAGATACCACGGAACTCCTCTGTGCTTTAGGAAGCCCAGAGATGAACTGTGATCCTCTTTCTAGTTGGAAAAGCTTAGGGTAGGTAAATTTTTGTTGGCCGAATTCATCCTTGGTATTTCCAGAGAAGTAATACGTTAAAGAGGTACAAAGAGGTGGAAGGAAAATGGGTAGAATAGCTGACACTTTGAACCTAAAAGTTCATGTTTAGAAGAGAGATTTACTTCTTGGCAGGTCAGTTTCAGAGCTGGATTTAGGCGAGAAGTGCATCTCTTGTGCCAAAGCTCCCCCTCATGGTGTTGCTGCATTGAGGAGTCTGTGCTCCATGTGGAAGGGGAAGTGTGAGAGGTGCATGAATCAAGTTGTGCCAGTGCTCAAGTGATACCCTTTCCCCCTTGCTTGCTCGTTAGTGAGCAGTTTTCCCCCACCCAGGGGCAGTCAGTGCCCATGGGAGGCTGCAGTTCCAGCTCAGAGTAGGGCCTTTGCTGCCCAGGTTTGTGAGTTTTACACCTGGAAGGGGGGCAGAACCCAGAACCCAAACCTATTTAAGATGTTGTTAGAATGGAGAACTGTTTGACAGAGAAGGTTGATAGCCTGCAGTCTGTTCTGCAGAGCAGCAGTGCTGCTGACTTGCTTGTGTGGCTGCCAAACTTCTACTCTTTTCTTCACCATCTTCCCACTGTATCTGTGCCCAGCACTTCCCTGAGAGCTGTTGCACTCTTCGTGTAGCATGGGAGGATGCTGCCAGCCTCAGCTTTGCCTGCTGCAGGCATTGCACATTGGATATGTGAAACAGTTGAGGAGCAGTTCCTTGTAATTCGTAGCACTGTGCACTCCTGAAAAGCACGAGGAAACGTACACTGCTGTCTACAAGCACTTAGCTATCTCCATTGTTGATTGTGCTTGTTTTCTTGAATCCATGACTTTTGTGCCTTTTGTTTTCCATTGGCTTGATGTCCAGCTTGGGATGAGGCATCTGTCAGCTTCCTCTTCTATGGTGGTTTCTTCTCTGGCTGTATGAATGGAGATGTGGCATGGCCAAGGACTGTGCTACAGGTACCCCCTCTCTCTGGATTTGCCACGCTTTCCATTGTCCCCTGCACCCTCACATTGTCTCCAGGTGCTAACAGCAAAGCCTGACAAAGAGTGTTTTCTTTTCCCCACACTGCCCTTAACCTGTGGCTCCTCAGTTCTGGATCCTCCTCTTGGGCAAAACAAGTGTCTTCTGTGCAGTAGGAGGGGAAGGTTTCTCAGCATTTCTTTCCTTTGGTTTATGTGACCTCCAGTGTGTTTGGAAGTTCCTCTTAGCTCTATTCATGGGTAAATGTCCTCTGCTCAAGATCTGACTCTGTTTTTGCAAGGACTGATGCTGACAGGGAAATAACACATTCTGAGCTGCCCTGTGCAGTTCTGATTTTACTGGCGTTCCCAGGCTGGTTCTGGAACAGCCATCTCCCAAAGGTAAGTGCTCTCTGGAGATTTGGGCATTTTTGCAGCTCTCATTGCTTTGTATGAGTCCCGACCTCATCACCTCATTCTATGCTTTGGTTTTCATTTATCGAAGCTCAGCACCCACCCAGCACATCCATAGGATGAAGGGACCTTTATCTGGCTCCTTATTCCTGCAAAACCATTAAACACAGCAGCACAGAAACAAGCATCTTTCTTTTTTGAAATGGGGATCCTACTGCCTTGCTTTCCATCCCTTTGTGCAGTTCTGATGGCTCAGAGTCGGAGGTACCTGGTGCACGTGGCAGTAGCAAAGCAAGGTATATTTACTAACTTACTGCCACACACATTTCTAAGGTTTTCTCTCCTTTATCAGCATCCCCATAGTGCTCACTGGCCCCTGTCTGCTGGCCCAGGGGCAGCTGCTGAACCTGCAGCTTCCTGGCTTTTCCTCCACAAACACTGCAGCGGATGGCGGAGGTGATGTCCAGATAACAGTCTCAAGCTCGTTCCTGTCTCAGTGATAAACTTTCTCACTCATGTCAGCACAGGCATTATGCCTGCACTCACGGGACACTACGAGAGGAGCTCTTTGCCCTTAAGCCCCCATCTGTTAGCTCAGTTGTTGCTGCACTGTCGTGCTACGATGGCCACTTCTTACGCCTCTGCTCTATTGCAGAGCCAGCTTAACCAGAGGAGCTGTGGGAAGCTATTTCCCTTCTCCCTGTGCTCTTCAGTACCAGCTGTGTTGCTGCAGTCCAGCTGCAGTCCAGCTGCATGGCCTGTTTGTTGGTGGGGGGGTTCCACGCAGCGCTGGCAGATGGTGACTTCTTTGCCTCCCCCTCCTCTCAATGTCAGCAGACACCAATGCCTCTATGGAAAAATCCCTTCTGTCACCTGTGTCACACCCTGTGCTGGGGCAGCTCAGACTAGGGTGGCTATGAGTTTGCTCTTTGATCCCAGTTGCCTCTTTCGAGGTAATGCCTTTTGTGCTTATGTGTAGAACAGCCCTTCTAGGGAGCTTTCTGCAGGACTCGGGGCACTTCTGTATGCAGTCAGGGGGGAAAACAGCACAGGATCCTGTGTTCCCATGCTCAGCTGAGAGATCACTGTCCCAGCAATGCTGCCCTCCGGATCCCTGCTCCGAGCTGCCCCAGCATGAAGACTACAAGGAAACTAAAGCACTCTTCATGTGCCATTCTCACTTGACTTTTTTTGTACGTATGTATGAAAGTTCTAAACTAATATTGCTGTAAAGAAAGATACAGATTAATATAGCATATTATATAAAGATATATGTATATAATTTTTTTCCCTATATTGTATGGCACTGTATAAAATGAATGTCGAAGCATGACTGGTGTATGTGACTGTTCCCAAGCCTGACCTGGGGAATGACAGCTGTGATTTGCCTGAAGTTTTGTCCCAAAGGGTTGTGCATGAGTTTGGAAGCCTGCACTGTGCTCTCTCATTGCAGTGGGTCGTGGTGTGAGATGCTGCATCGCTGTGGCTGCCTGGGGAACAATTCCAGAGTTGGTCTCCTTGCCAGCTCTGCCCCTTCTGGATCTCAGCCTTCAGTGCAATGGGAGAAACATCCCTGCAGAGCAAAGGACACGGCTTTGTGTGGGTTTGTCAGGCAGGATATGAATGCCTGGTGCTGTTTATGGATGAATAATGCCATAATCATCAATATTCTGGATGGAGGAAAGCAATAGAGGAGGAAGGAGAAATAAGGGAAGCTGGGGGAGCAGGGTCAGGAGAGGAGCAGGAGCTTTCTGAGCAGCCATTAGGAATGCAGGCTGGAAAAGGAACGTCTGGAAGAAAATAATGCTATTAATCACTGCACAGAATAGTTTTTGGGGTTGTACCTGAAGAGACTGAGTACTGTCAGGGAGTTAAGAGCTCAGGGGTGGCTGAACTACTGAGTTCCTATAAAAATGCCCATAAAAAGTGCTGGTATGTTTAAATGCCTGCCTGATGCTTTGGTTTGGCTTTGTTTTGTTTTCCTACCCATAACTATCAGCTAGTCTCATAAAAAGATATTACTTCTATAAACACTTCCTCTCTCAGAGAGAGAAAACCATTAAACTCTGGATCCTACCCTTGTGTAAACACAAAATAATCCATGCTGTGGAGGGACTGTTCCAATACAGTTGCTAAGGAGAAAGCTTATGAATGTGAACACAGCAGGCACTGTGGATGTTGCTTTGAGACCTGTTTCACTGTTGAAAGCCCAAGCAGGGATGGAGCTGCTATTCCCAAGACGACTCTGTGGCTATTATGGTGGCTATAGGAGGGATTTAGCAAGGAAAGTTTTTCAGCTCGTTGGCCATACAGTGCCACAGCAGAGGGTGCTGTGCTTGTGCTGGCAGTGCTGTGGGCACCCTCAGGGCTGGAGTAGTGCTGCCTGCCTGCTCCTAGGGCTCGCTGCACAGCTGGCCATACAAACAGCCATGCTGCTGGAAGATCTCGAGCTCCGTTGGGTGCAGCTTGAGATGCGAGTGCAGCAGGAGCTCCTTTCCAGCCTACCCAATAAGCTTCTTGTGCTTCTGCTCATGGCCGTTCTGAATCCAGCACTGCTGGCTCCAGTGCTGCTGGCTGCAGCCACAAAAGCTCCCCCAGAATGCGTGTCCCTCACTGGCGACCTTCCTTTATCCTTTTAATCAATGGTGGTGTTCTCTCCATCTTGGGAACAAACCTCTCGTAGTTAATGGATAACCAGGGAGAGATTTATCAGCATCGTTCTCTTGCCAAGAGGAGATAACCGAGCGAGCCCGCAGTGGTCCGCTTCCGCCTGCAGCAGCTGCCTTGGGTGTGGATGGGGCATCCAAGAAGGGTGAGCCCGCATCCTCCACTGCCTCCCTGCCTGCTGTCTGATACTGGAGGAGGCACACAGCCTCAGCGCGGGGCTCTCAGAATAGCGAGGCTCCTTGAGGATGGACCTTGCTTGATCCACCTGCGCTGCCTTTGTGGTGTGCTGGTCCCACGCCTGGAAGAGCGGGGCGCCTGTGGGATGCATTCCTGTATGGCTGGCCACTGTTGCTGAAATAAGCCAAGTAGGTCTCCTGCAGCTGCGTGTTTATGCGGGACATCTTGCCCCCAAAGCGTTGGTACTGTGGTTGTCTTTCCACTTGGTTTTGCGACACTTCTTGGAATTGAGGCTCTTCACCAAGCATTTCTTCCATCCTTCGAGCCCCTTGGAGCCCCACTTTGTCTAGAAACTGGCAGGAGTTGCATAAAGCGTGAGTGAGAGGCAGCCCAAGCAAGCTGAGTTTTGTTCAGGTGGCTGCACCGCTTCCATTCTGAAATGCCTTCGTTTGGCACAGCTGGCAGGAGGATCCCAGAAAAACCATGCTTGCTGAGGGAGGAAAAACTGCAGCAGTGTTTATTGGGCAGCCTGGGGACCCACAAAGAGGAGAGCATGCAGTATCTGCAGGAAGATGAGGCTGTTCCCAGCAGGCAGGCAGGCAGGCAGGGAGCAATCTAGGACGTACCTTACACATCTGTGATAACCCTATCAGCAGCGTTGAAGCTAGCGTGGCCAATGACCCCAAAGTGAATGACTCCCCTTTGTACCATGTTGATGAATATCCCAGCAGCATCCTCTCTGCTCCTGCTGACTTGTCACCATGAAGGGTCTGAGGTTTCGGAGACCAAAAACTCTCCCAGCTGTGTTTGAGAACACAGGGTGAGGGCTGGGGGGCACTGAGTTATATTTTGGGTTTCAGCTGAACTTTGGAATTTAGTGCTGGAGGGAGCAAAAGCCACACCTTCCATGAGTAATATCCTTCCACCCCCTCCTTGGCTTGTGCTGCCAGCCAGCCCTATGGCATAGAGAGAGCAGAGTGTGCAGAGAGGGTGACCTGAGGGAAGAGAGGAAGGGGTTCTGTGTATCCCAGCAAAGGAGTGCGGGTTGCCCAGGGAAAATGGGGTGCCTCATCCGTGGATGAGATGGCCAGGCTGGATGGGGCAGGGGTCTGAGCCCTAAGGCAGGGGTTGAGGCTAGAGGGGCTTTGGGGTCCCTTCTGCCCCAATCATTCTGTGATCTTTAAGGACCTTTCCAACCTTTCTGTGCTTCTGTATCTTGGAGGACCCTTCCAACCCAACCGTTCTGTGATCCTTGATGTCCCTTTCATTAGCTCCAGGAACGAGACTGGGATGAGAGCAGCCATCCCCTCACACTCAAGTCCAGTGGGGTTGTTTTGCTGGGGTCAGGAGCCTCAATTCTGGGCCCTATCACCTGTTGCAGGCCTTGGGCTCTACGCTGAATGCAAATTTCTACAGAGCAAACATTTTGCTTCCTTCCCACGCAGCCTGTACCCAAAGCTGATGGGGGGGGGGTGAGGAACAAGGGCTGCGGGGCAGCAGAGAATAACAATTGTCTTAAGGGAAAGAGGCAGAGAGGAGAAAAAAAGGGCTGTTGAGCTCTTTCTTTCCATCCCTGAAATAATAGACCCATTACTGTCCCCAAACCTCAGCCCCCCTCCCCTCCCCGGAGAAGAATTGGTCACTGCACAGCTGTGCGAGCGAGAAAAATATATTTATATATATCAGAGAATCTGCCCTTCTGAATTGGTGCGCGGGGTCGGACAAAACCTCATTGTGCGCTTTATCTGCCCCGCACAGAATGGCCCCACAGTCTCGGGCTGGCAGGGGCTCGCCTTTTGGTGAACTGCGGTCGGATCACTGTGACTTCATTTAGATACTGTCCCGTTANGAGGGGGCGGGGGAGGTGGGGCGGGGGGGAAAGGCCAGAAAACACCGCCGACCCGCGAAACGCCGCCGACCCGACCCTCCTCCGCCCGCCGGGTCGCGGCGAGCATCGGCCGGCAGCGCCGCGGTAGGGAGCGGGGCCGCCCCGCTGCGCTGCTCTCCGCGGCCGGCAGGGGGCGCCGTGCGGGGCGGGGCGGGGGCGGAGCGGGGCGGCCGTCGCCGGAGGCCGGTGGGCAGCGGGCGGCCGCGCTCGGCGCCGGCTGCGGCTCTGGGCCCCGCGCGGAGCGGCCCCGGGGGCTGTGCGTCCCCCTGCGGGCTCGGCCGTTAGCCCGGTGCATGGCACAGCTATGGAGGTGGTGGACGAGACGGAGGCTCTGCAGCGCTTCTTCGAAGGTACGGCGAGCGGCGGGGAGACCTCCTTTCTTCCCTTTCCCTTTCCTTCCTTCCCTCCTTCCTTCCTTCCTTCCTTCTTTCCTTTCCCTTTCCTTCCTTCCTTCTCTCCTTCCTTCCTTCCTTCTCTCCTTCCTTCCTTCCCTCCTTCCCTCCTTCCTTCCTTCTTTCCTTTCCCTTTCCTCCTTCCTTCCTTCCTTTCCCTTTCCTCTTTCCTTTCTCTTTCCCCTTTCCTTTTCATTCCCCTTCCCTCCTTCCTTCTATTCCTTCCCATTTCTTCCTCCTTTTCCTTTTCTCCTTCCTTTCTCCCTTCCTCCTTCATTCCTTTCTCCTTCATTCTGTTTCTCTTTCTTTCCCTTTTTCTCTTTTCCCTTCTTTCTTTATTACTTTCTATCTCTCTTTCTCTATCTCCCTTTCGACCTAAAAATGTCCACGTAAAAACAGAGCGAAGAAAACCGGGGCTGAAGGATGTTTCTCCATCTCTGCTCTTTGCTTCCTTTGAAGAACATTGAGCAGAGTTTTTTGCAGAGCCTAAAGCTGCTGTTTGTTCCCCTTGGTCATCTGCATCCCTTTGGTGCTGTTGTTAAGAAGCATCTGTTGTAACACAGTGTTGGAGAGGAGACGTTTGAATGCAAAAGTGGAGCCCATCCTTTGCTCTTTGGAGGTGACAGGCCTGTGAATGCCTCATTTTGCAGAACGGAGATGGATTTTCCCTGGAATCTGTGTGAACGGAGGGGTTAAATGGTTTCTGGGTGCTTAATGCTGATCTGTTGGAGTATAAATTCATTAATTTATGGGGATAAAGTAGAAACGTCTCGTTGTTCCTATGTAACAACTTACTTAAAGGTATCTGCCGCTTCCCTTCCCGTGTGCACAAGTGATCTTTCTTATAGTGAAATCCTTTTTCTTCTCTCCAGTGGAGGTTTCACACTAAATGAATTTCTCCCCGCACTGAAAGCCCTGAAATAAGGAGGGAATTCCCTCCCGTTGGCTTGGTGCGGCTTTGCACGGGATCCGAGCTGGCATTCGACGTTTCAGCATCATCCCCTGGAATGTGGTCGCCTGCTCTGTGAGATCTGAGCCTTGGAGAAGGGTGGCAGTGTGAAAAGCACAGGGCTTCGCTCTGCAGCTCAGGAAGGACTGGGGAAAAGCAGAGAACGGTGGGGCACAGCGTGGCCAGGATGGAGGGGCGTGAGGTTGGGAGGAGAGCGTGCGGGATGCTGGGGCTTCTGGCAGCAGAGCTGAAGGAGCTTGCTTTGGTCTTTCCATAGCATTGGGAGTGTTTGTCTGGAGCATTTGTATTTTGTATCAAAGGAAAAGGAGGGAGTTGAAAGCGCCTGACCCTTGGCTGGCATCCTGCTAGAAACCTTACCTTCCTCCCTGCCTACCGCTCGCGTAAGGGAAAGAGTTACGACAGAGCTCAGCTATTTGGGATCCCTCTCTCTCCCAGCTAATTTATGAGATAAGAGGCTGTTAAAGAATGTATGGTGGGAAGGATGCGCAGAGCCGGGCTGGAGGGGCAGGGGAAGGGGGTGGTTTGGCCATGGGGATTTGGGCAAGGAGTGGCCAAACAAGTGGTAAGCGCTGAAAGCGTGGAGGATTTGGGGTTGGGAAAGGTGGTGGTTAAATAGGGTTAAATGCAAGTTGAGGGCATGTGTGACCCGTGTGTCTGTGCTCGCTGCTGGGGTCACGGGAGCCTTTGAGCTGGGAGGGAGCACCCTGTTTATCAGCAAGGCAGTGAGCACATTGGTGTTAGTGAAGGGTTTGGGGCAGAGGTGTGCTCACAGGCGTGCCTTGGTGACAACTGGCTACTTTTTTTGGTGAGTTTTATTGGGTATTATGGAGCACTTTCCGTATGGCAATAGGAAATGCCACCCTAAGGGAGGTGATGTGGGTCATTGCTCTGTTTTCCTGCTTAGGAGGAAATTTTTAACTATGGTAAGGTTCTGGCACAGGATGCCCAGAGAAGCTGTGGCTTCCCCATCCCTGGAGGTGCCCAACGCCAGGCTGGATGGGGCCCTGGGCAGCCTGAGCTGCTGGGGGGCAGCCAGCCACGGTTCTATGATGCTGTGATCTTTAAGTACCCTTCCAACCCAACCTTTCTATGATTGTAGGATTTTTTTTGACGCTCGGTCAGTGCAATTACAGAGGATCAGAGTGTCTGGTTTCCTCTGAGGCATACAGAAAACCATTTTTTTGGGGTGCAGATGGATTTCGCATCGACTGTTCTACCTTCTGCCTGCCCAGCCTGTGCATGCCCTGAGTGCTTCTGTGGCAGTAGGCTTTGCCATGCACTGCTGTGGTGCTCCGTGTGGGGCCATGGCTCAGGGCAGAGGTGGCCTTGCGGTGTCACCATCTCTGTGGGGCGGGCTTGTGCAGCGGGGAAGGAAAGAGGCTTTGTGTGGGGCTCTTTGCTGAGCAGAGTGAGCCCGTGACAGAGTCGTCCTGGGGAACCTGGTACAGCACAAACACATGACCATCCCTCCTGGTAATCCCCTCGCAGACCCAAATCCCAGAGTGTAGCAGCTGTGTACTCCCCGGCCCTCCCACTCTTCCCCAGAGGAATAGAAAAACTGGCAATCGGCAGCCCTGCAAGCTGGACAAGCAGCAAAATGACAGAGGGTGAGAGCAGGGACGCAGCGGGGATTTGATGTCCGCTCTCACCATGCTCAGGATGCACTGGATCCGAGCAGGTAACAGTACAGGTCCCTCTCCATCTTCCACAGCTCAGCTTCCCCTCCTCACTCTGTCTCTCTTTTTTCTGAACCCATTGCCAGCTCTGGGGAGCATTCCTTGGCAGAGGAAGTTGCTCATCCACGAGGAGGTCCAAGAGCCTTCAGCCAGAGCACTCATCCTTGCCCTCGTAACCACACTGGTTCTTCTCAGTGTCCTGCCTTCTTTCCTCAGCTTCCCCCAAACCTTCTTTCTCCTGGGTGGGAAAAGAACAGGATGTGGGGACAGAGTAAGCTGCTCGTAGGAGGGTGGATCTCTAAGGACGTCTGATAAGAGGTGGTTTGTGATTCAGAGCCACATGCGCCCATGGAGGCTGTGTCGGGGGTGGCGAGAGGTTCTTTGTCCACGTTCAGATTGATGTTGGTGTGTGGGGAGCTCGTGTCCGTGCAGGGACCAGCCATGAGGCAGGGAAAGGTGCCATGGAGCCTTGGAGAGGTGTGACCAGGCTGCTGGTGACTCAGAGATCCTGCGGGCACAAGGGCTGCTGCTTGCAGCAGGTATTGGAAAGAGATGCTGGCTCAGAGGGTGCCCTGCTGGGGTGGGATGGAGGATCCAGCTGGGCTGAAGAAGTGCTGCTGTTGGTGTGATGTGAGGGCAGGCAGCTGTGGTGCTGACCCCACCATGCCTGGATGTGGTACAGTGATCCTAAAAGGTGGCCGAGGCCAGGAGCCTCGTGGAAGCCTTTCTGTGTCTGGTGCACACACAAGTGCAAGAAGGCAGCAGTGAGTGGCTTGGGTCTTCTGGAGAGAAGATGTGAAGGTGGGAGTTGTCACATGGCCTTGGGAATTGTTGATGTGAGTAGGGTCTGTGGCTGTGGATCCTGACCAGGAGGTTGAACTGTATCCCTGCTGAGACACAAAGCAGGACTTGGTGCTGGGCTTTGTGCTTGGGAATCACTTGCCAATGCATGGGCTTTTTGGAGAGGTCCAAGGGGCTGAGGAGCCCAGAGGAGAAAGCTTTTGTCCCCAGCCTGCACCACCAGCTTCTCCAAAAGCCACCAACTGCCCATCCATGGTTTTGGGTGGCAGGGCCAAGGGCTGCTTTGGTTCTTCATAGGAATCAAGTCTTCTTGCAAGGTAAGGAAGCAAAACAGGGTTTGTCAGCTGGAAATACTCCCTTGGAAGAACAAAGCTCTGCAGTATATGTGAAGTGGTGAAAGTCTCCGTTGATCAAAGCGTGCACGGTGAGCACTGCAGGGAGCTGGGCACTGCCCTGAGGCACACACGGGTGTATGAGGCAGGAGCCTGCACTGCATCCCTGCCTGGCACTGCGGCGGCAGGGCTTGTTGGGAAGCCCCTTGTCTCCCTGCAGCCGTGCTTCTGGTTGGGGCTTGGACTTTGTGCTCTCTGATAAGAACCCCAGTAAGCTAAAGGTGCCTGAGGAATGATTAACCAGTGTGTGCGTCGCCCGAGGACGGGGGAGCAGCTGGAGGCACAAACAGGAATGGGCTGGTGGCTTTTGGGATGGAGTTGGCCGGATGCCTCTTCCAGGCTTCAACTCATAGGGCAGCATCTTTCAGTAGAGAGAACTTTCTGGAGTTTTCCAGGCTGACCTTAGAGCTGTGGGCAGGGGGAGATGAGGCTGTCAGATAGAGGGGAGGTGCAGAGCCCAGAGGAGGGAATAGGGATGCTCTTAGAGGCCGGATGGCTGTGGCACCACACTTGGCTACCTGTTGGCTCCCACATCAGGCTTCATGGGTACACCGTCTTCCTTCTCCTTATCTTTCTGAACTTTGTCTGTTTTGATGCCAGTGGGTTGTGTTTCATAGAATCATAGAATGGCCTGGGTTGAAAAGGACCACAATGATCATTTAGTTTCAACCCCCCTGCTATGTGCAGGGTCACCAACCAGCAGACCAGGCTGCCCACAGCCACATCCAGCCTGGCCTTGAATGGCTCCAGGGATGGGGCATCCACAGCCTCCTTGGGCAACCTGTTCCAGTGCCTCACCACCCTCTGTGTGAAAAATTTCCTCCTAATATCTCACCTAAACCTCCCCTGTCTCAGTTTAAGACCATTCCCCCTTGTCCTATCACTATCCACCCTTGTAAACAGCTGTTTCTGTAGCCTCTCTGGACTTAACCTGTGTTCACCTCTCCTTTCTTCCCAGTCTTTCTCCTTCCTCATCCCCATTGCTCTATCAAGTCATCTATCAAGTCATCTTCCACTGCTCTCATTACTCATATGCCCTGGTCTAGCTGTTGGTGTCTCCAAATTCTGGGAGAGGGTAATGAAAGGAACTCGGTTAGAATGTGTGCCAGATGACACTTA